GTACTGTGGTGATTCAGCAGATCCAGCTTGTGCCGAGTTGGCTTCTCAGGGCTTGGGGCTCACCTTAACCCTGAATAACCTACTTTTTCAGGGTTCCTTACTATGATTTCCTTATATATGTCCTTAAAAGGGGTAGGTCATTCCGGTTTAAGGTAGGGTTCAGGTCACGGGGTCTATAGGATGAACGGGCCTCCGGATCTGGGGATCCCGGTCCCGGTCTCCCTTCAATTCCTAAGCCTTTTCCTCTAAGATTCTAGTTATACGGCAAAACACCTAAACGTAACAGTAAACCTGCGGGATGAAGTGACTGAAGCGTTTTAGGGTTTAGGGAAGCTTTGTCTTTAAGGGTCTTATCCCAAGTGCACCCGACAATATGTACTCCGCAATATTCCTTGGAGCCCACTATATACACCAAAATCCCGGTTGTACCCCTACTGCATGTAGGATTCATCAGTAAGTCTCTCAATCCGGGCACTCCTGTGTCAAACCTGTGCGCCAATACAGGCGCTTCAATGATTTGAATTTTTGCCTGCTCAGCTGCTCAGCCCGACCCTGCAGTACTTAAACCACTCAAAGCATAGATGGCATAAAACTCGAAACCCTTAAACCCTAAACCCTGTGGTCAAAACCCTTAAGCCCGCCAAGATACCTGTTGCAGGCAGGTCCTCGCCGCCGATTTTCTCGGGATTCTCCAAACCTTGGTGAGGTTTTACAGCTGGGGCTGGGAACCTACGGGTGCGGGTTCTGAAATTTAAGGCTTGCCATCATCTGGGGCTAATATTTTTGGAGTTTGGAACTTTGGGTTTTCAGTTCTGGGGTTTAGGGCGCTGTGACCGCGGTGCGCAGTGATGCCCTTATTCTGAGGAGAACGGCGTTTAAGTCCTAAAGCCGAAACCCAGTGGATGGGTGCTTGGCGAGGAGCCAAGGACGATATTCTCACGAATCGTGCGCGCGAAGAGAACGGGCTCCTTCTCCGGCTGAATAATGTAGGGGCCTTGATAATTAGAATAGGGTATTGGGGGTTCCTTGTGATATCCTTAACAACCCATTCTAATTATTAAGGCCCCTCCCTATGTTAAGACCCTAAGACCGACCGGAAACCCTGCATCCTACTTCTGCTGGCTTGAGGAGATTGGGGACATTTCCGGGTTCGGGCTTTGATCGCCCGAGTAGGTTTCAGCGTCATGAAGCTCTTAAGCCAGCCGTCAATCTGTAGTCCCCAAACAAACCAAACCTTGATTCCCAAACCCAAACCCTAAAGCCCAAACGCTAAACCCCACAATTGGGACAGTGTACTAAGTCATATTGAAGTCTGTGTTTTTGCTACGCAAACAATGGCGTCGAAGGAAATTCCAGTAGAGAGAAGGCTTGGGCTTGGGGGTCTACAATAACTATGTAAGAGCCCTACGAGTAACAAAATAAAAGTCTACTTTATGAACGAAGATTTCACCCCAAACCCAATAGGAATCCAGGCGGTTAAAGGCTTTGGAGGTCGAGAAAAATTCGATGGGCAAGGTGTCTAATTCCTAGAAGGTAAGCACACGTTAGCTGTTTCGGACCTTTCATAAACGAGCCCATGACCGCAAGCCAAAAACACATAAAATGCACTCACAAGACATACAGAATAGGGATTGCTGAAGAAACTAGCCGCTGGAAACAGTTGATCGGCCTACGCGTCAAGAATGTCTACTTCAGATGTCGCCTTGCGACAGAAGGAAAATGAGAGAGAGAGTCTGCTGCATGTGTCGAGGGCTCAAGTTTGGTCTTGAAGGTGAAGGTGTTTAATCAAGTCTGGAGCCTCATAACGTTTGCGTGGTGCCTGTCTTGGCTGTTGGGGCCATCAACCCAGCAAATCAACAATGAGAGCGTTGCGGCCGAACATGTCCGACCTCCAGGCAGGAACGGGCGTAAACCACAGCATGTCAATTTGGCATGCATACTGCATACTAGGTATCATCTTCAACTCTATTTTGATCCTAAAAGCCCGAATGGAGATGCGGTCCTGCCCCACGATTGAGACGACTCGGTGGAAATGCTCGTGAGAGAAGTTCCAAATCGGAATTCCGTCGAGGGTGATGCTTCCCTCCTGGCGTTTGACAGGGCTAATGAAGTGGACATGGTCTTCTGTTGCACTACCATGATTCTATCGTATAGTGCGAGTAGTCAAGTTCTGAGTGTCTGTGCAATTGAGTGAGCGTGTGTATATATCTATATATGTATACAAAAGTACGAAAGCATAAGCACATAAAGACATAAACACTATACATCTAGGAATGTTACATACGCGAGGCAAGCCTAAAGAATGCGATGTCTTATGGTTAAGGCCACTATGAACTCGCTCATCTTTGCTCTGGTTCGGGGAGTTTTTTGGCAAGTATTGGGGTTTGAAGGTCACATGGTTTGTCTGTGTGGGGCTTTAAGCTGCTATAGGGGCCCGCCACAACCGACACTTATATAGGAAAAGGCAACCGACAATTAGTGTTTTGCTGGGTTTTCGACTCAAAATCAGTGTACGTGCTCGAGAAATGTGATGGTTTGTGGCTCAAGCCGGTGGCTCAAACACCAAGTGGCTCAAGCGTCTTGTGGCTCAGGCAATGGCTCACAATGAAGAAGTGGCTCAGAGGAGGATATGTTAGCTCAAGGAAAGATTCAGGACAGTGTTTTGTTGGCTCAAACATTTCAAACCTGGCGATCACTGAATATATATTGGCTCAATGAGTTCGGTTTGGGTCTACTTGGTATTACTTAATCTTCGTGTTTGGCTTTTTAAGTTCAGGATTCGGGACTTAAAAAACCCGTCAGTGATGGCCTAAACATTAGACCCCCAAGTCCCAGGCCCCAAAGCATCCTAGACCCCTTAACCCGAAAAACCCTAAGCTTCATAGAAGCCCTAAACCCTAAACCCCATCAGCCCTAAAATAGCCCAAGACTCATGACGTAGCACCCCGAGACTAACGCCTCGAAGGGCGAGAACCCTAACTACCCTACCGCCCCTGATCCCATCGTCCCTTAAAACCCAACGACCTAGCACCCCGAGCCTAACACCTCGAAGGGCGAGAACCCTAGCCCCAGCAACTGAAACGCCCCAAACCCCATCAACCCTAAAAACCCCACGACCTACCACCCCCGAGCCTAACGCCTCGAAGAGCGATAACCTAACGCCTAGACCATTGAATCTTAAAAACCCTAAGCCTTAAAACCCCAAACCCCATGAGCCCTAAAAATAGCCCCGAAACCTACAACCCCAAGCCTAACGGCGTTAGGGCTTTAGGGCCTTTAGGGTTTAGGGCTTTAGGGTTTGGGCTTTAGGGTTTGGCACCCCACCTCACATGGCGGACCCCAAACCCACTACCTTTCGGCGGACCCCAAACCTACCACCTTTCGGCACACCCCAAGCCTACGCCTTTCCCCCACCCCAAATCCTAACACCTTTCGGCGGACCCCAAACCTACCACCTTTCGGCCTCTACAACAAAATCTTTTTCGCCCACCGTGATCGAGCATGAAAAGTATTGAAGTGTTTGAGCCAACAAAACACTGTCCTGAATCTTTCCTTGAGCTAACATATCCTCCTCTGAGCCACTTCTTCATTTGAGCCATAGCTTGAGCCACAAAACGTTTGAGCCACTTGGTGTTTAAGTCACCTGCTTGAGCCAAAAACCAGCACATTTCTTGAGCACATACACTGATTTTGAGTCGAAAACCAGCAAAACACTAAGTGTCGGTTGCATTTGGCTTAAGTGTCGGTTGTGGCGGGCCGGTCTTCAGGCTAGGGTACATGATAATATGGTTGTAGAGGGACTCGAAGGAATAATTTTGAGTCGAAAACCAGCAAAACACTAAGTGTCGGTTGCATTTGGCTTAAGTGTCGGTTGTGGCGGGCCGGTCTTCAGGCTAGGGTACATGATAATATGGTTGTAGAGGGACTCGAAGGAATAACTAGTCAGGCTACTACCTCAAGCACTTATACGGTTTATGTTTAAAGCTTGGAGATGCTTTCTGTTGGGACGAGGCTTGAAGTGAAGGTCATTTCGGGCGCACGGTTTCTGTCTCTCTGACATTGAAGCGGTAGAGGCTCGGGGGGCTGCTAACAAACTCGAGGTGGAGCTACTCTAAACCCTACACCCGTTTTTGTGGGACAATGCAACGACCCCGCTTCGGTCCAAGTTCATTCCGACGCCCGCAACCACCCTCCATCAGCCTGGATTCGTGGTCAGAAACCAAATTGCTAAATCGCCAAAACTCAACCGGAAAACACACCGAGTTAATACCCTTATTTGAAACATTAAGGCCAGGATGTTAGCCCATGAAATGTTACGAAAACCCTCGACCCATTGCCTTTCATACCGCAAAACCCGAACGATGCCTCGACGTGGTAAAGCCGCTTCAACAGGGAGATCACTGTACTCTTCCCGTTGCCTGCCGCAGCGATGCTGTACGGCTCGGCTTCGAAACCGTAGACGATGAAAATTCTGGCTGGTTGGATGATTGTAGGGTCCAGTGGTCCAGGTTCAGTCCAGGAGCCCCCAGATAAAGCCTAAATCCCAAACTCCCAAACCCGGAAGCACATGCCCAAAGAATTCCTCTCGATCTTGAGGGTTTCTTTCACCAAGTCGAAAAGCCAAAGTCTACCCTCGGAGTGCACAGAGCCCAATTGGCTGTGTAGTCATAGTCAGCTCAGCAAGAGCAGCAGAACAGCAGCGACAACAACATTGTATGCTGCTGCTGCTGCTGCTGCTTGTACTTCCTGCCCCAATACCTAATCTCTGAAAGTTGATGCACGGGCCCCTTAAACCTAAACCGCACATGTAAACACTGAAGCCCACAACTGGTCTCCTCACTGGGGCCTGAGGGCAGATGTTTTGGACCTTCACGATAGAGGCCTGAATACTTGTAGACCTTTATAGGGTTTGAAAGGGCCGGCAAGGGTTTGTGGCTGAATATAAGGACTTTGACTATTCGGATCAGGATCGATAGGGAATATACAGGTTTGACAAGGGATTAGCCGTCATAATTTGCCAGGTAGCCTCGGCTGAGCAGGCGGCCGCAACAAAACCAAAAAACACCGTGTCCCAAGCCCCTTCAAGCCAAGAGCCTTAACGCTGAAGCCCGTAAATACACCCCATAGCCGCTACAGTATAACACCCTGTGAGGCCAGTAAGAAACATCTTGTGTATACGCAATGAATGAGACCTGACAGGACCTTATGACGAGGCCCTACTGACAATTAACACCGCTACACATCCTGACAAAAGCCTTAATAAGGACCCCTAGGTATATACCCTATATATAGCTATTATATACAAATTATATAGCCCGTTATAGGGTAGGGGTCCCCATTAAGGGTCCCTCCCTGTCCTCAATCCTGAAGCGCAGTGGGCGCCTGAAGGGCCTACCAGGGCAACCACAGTGCTGGCCGGGACGTCCAGGCTCAGGCCATTCAGGATCTTCACCTTGCGGTTGTACGGCTTCAGGAGATCGCAGCTTCTTGCTTCCTTCAAGGTCAGAAGCCGAAATCCGAAACCCTACAACCCTGAACCCACGAAAACTGATACAAACCCAGTTTGGGGGAGTAAGATCGTCGCCTTATGCAAATAAGCACAGCAGGCTCGCTAATTCCTTGGCGCTCGCCCTTACAATCCCTAGACCCCGAAGATGGCCTGAATGAGGAGAATGGGGTTTCGGGTTTTATTGTGTGATAGCTACTACGGGGCCTATGAGAGAGCCCCTTTGAGGTAATTATATCTCTCATGACACTACGGCACTACCTTGGGTAATCGCATGGACCCCTAAGCGAAGAAAACTCAAAACACTCTGCTCATTGATGTCAGCCAACATCTGGCCGGGCTGGATAGCTGAAGTGGAGATCCTGCCGACACAGGTTGGCACTTGGAAGGCGTGCTTAAGAGTGTCTACCTGACTGGAGATGTGAAAGGCCCGGTTCATGGCTGTAGGGCATCATGAAGCTTCAGGGTTTTGGCTTCGAGGGGCTTCGGGTTAAGCCAAGCAACTTCCTCACTTAAACGACATTGGCATATCTTGGGGTTTGCAAAATTCTGACAACAGTTTGGGTATTTTGAAGTTCCTAAAGCTGAGCCCCTCTCGGAGTGTTTCTAGAGAGGAGTGAAACTCAGAAGGACGATTCGAAAGAGGGTCATGTAGGAGTCGGCATGCAAGGCTTGGTTCCAGCCTCGGAGCGGCTACCAGCAGAAACCAGCAGCATACGATCGAAGTGTGCCACTTTGTTCTGTGGCCCATCGCAACCACATTTCTGGACTTTTAGCTTTTCACAGATTGGGGGAGTTAGGTGCCGTTTGTGCTCGCGCTGAAACACTTTGAGATTGAGGGTTTTCGATTTTCATATCCCATTAACAACTCTTCAGTAAACAACAACAAGGATGACTGACCGTGCCTACAAACCCTTCATTCAAGGGTTGAAACCCAACCCAAAACCCCAAAAGCACAAGCTCCCGCGGTCCCGCAGCTGCAGAGCCCCAGCCCCTTTCCAATCGCGCTCCTTCCACCGATGCAAAGCTAGATCTTTGCGGGGGCTCAGGACTTTGCGGTTACATAAAGCATGCGTATGGGCTTCCAAGGGTTCTGCCAGGGAGTTGAAGGTATAAGGGTTTTGGCGTTGCGGCCCCTCCCGTCGAGCGATCGAGCGGCTTTTGTGAACTCCGTCGTCCCAGAGTTCCAGGCACGAAATCTCAAAGACAGTGGACAAGTTCGGGAAAGTGAGCGCCACGCAAACTCCGTCGACGCAGAGTGCGGAGGTGAAAGACCTCAAAACAATGGAAGCATCCGGACCGCGAAGAGCACAGAAACTCCGTCGTCTCCGAATGCCTTCACGACCAGACTCTGTACTCAGACTCACAAGCTCGGTCGTCACAGTCGTCAACGAGTGCCATTAGAAAAGCTACCGAGGCTCACATCTTCGGGGAACATGCTCAAACTTGTAAACACTCTTTCTGCCGAATGTCGGTCCTATGTTCTCCGCTTGATTCTTTCCCCCCGCCCCCCGACTCCATAATGGCATGATCAGAAGCCTAGGATCCTGGTCTCGGAACCCTAAACTCCAGGTACAAATCCGCGCAAGTTCCTTTCCTGGGCTTCGTCCCAGCAGCCGTCCATGTCGGGCGACCTCAAGGAACACTCTTTGCGAGGTGCTTTTGAATGAAGGGCTGGGGTATGTGCCAGGGTTTCGGGCTTTCGTTCCCTTGTGTTTTTGTGTGCTTAGGGCTTTCGGGCTTTGAGGATCTGCGGGGATTTAAGACGTTCACGGGATAGGGCAGGTCTCTAGCCTTGAGGGTTACAGCGCTGACGGGACGTTGGACCAAAGCCTAGCTGATGGGTTCGCCGAAGCTCTGGCCGCAAAGCAGCTTACCTCCGAAATATGGAGACACCAACAAGTAAGCGTCGAAGTTTAACGGATCTGCAAGCCATTTAGACCAAACAGACCCAAAGTTACAAAACATCAATTTTGAACAGCCGCTTAGATTGCTAATGCTTAAAACTGGAAACTGACTCGTAAGGAACATGGAAGGCTGACGTACGATGGTGGTGCTCTATAGGGTTTGAGGACTCAGGGATGACGACTCTGTTGCTAAACTGATCTAAACCAAGCAGCTTAACCTGGTCTCTGGACAACCTGAATTTTCTGACATGGCCTGGGCTTTCGCTCACAAAGCTCGAAGACGCGCACAGCAGCTCCAACTGCCTCGCGAGACTTCGACACGGAGCATAAGGCTTCACTTCAAACATATTACGGCGCTAAGGGTTCAACTTGTTCGGAATCACTTAGTGCTGGGGGTCACGCAGGGCGAACGGTTCCAAAAAGTAGAATTTGTAAGGCTGCAACTTCTGTTGGATCCGGAGTTTGGCTGTGAGGCTTTGGAAGGATGTCCACGAATTCCAACAAATCCCAGGCCAGGAAGTCTTGCAGACAGTACCCTCCGGGTCAGCACACCGGCGAGCCGGAAGCGACTCTTCAGCCCTAGAAGCACGCACTAAGCACTAAACTCCCTGCTAGAAACCAAAGCCGCAGCCAACAAAAACCTCAAAAATCCGGCCACCAAGGTCAACATGAATGTATGAAACGATGAACCTATGAGTTTATACGCATGTACGTATGTAAGTGTGTATATACATATGTATGTATATGTATGTATATGTCTGTATTGTGTAGGTAGGTACGGAGTATAGGTAGATAGGTAGGTAGGTAGGCATAAAATCCGTTGAGCTACCTACGACCTTCGCCGTCATCCCCAAGAACTCAACTCTGTCTTCGCGTTCAAACATGTGAAATACTACGGTCGGCCGCATAATGTCCTGGTTGGGACTTGGAAAAAAGAGCTCTAACAGGCTGACTTGAACAAAGCCCCAACTACTGCATGCTTCTTCCTTGAAACGCACATGGCACAGACTCACAACACGGAAGCCTGAACAGTAAGACCAGGGTTTTGGTGGTTTGTAACATCTAAAGACATGAGAAGGAACGCTCGGAAAGCATTAACGGCCTAACGGGGCAGCCTCTGCAGTAGTCTACCGTTTGTGCCTTCTGGGCTTCCATGTTGGCTTTAAGGCGAATCCAAACACCAGCGCCCTATTCTGACTTGATGCTACCTACCTTCATCCCAGCCCCTCGACAAATTCCGTGATGGCGACTCAGGGATTCCAAAACCGCCGCTATATCAGGATTCTTGTGCAGAACCAAGACTTCAAGATGTATATTCCTGTAATTATGGAGCTTAGAAGTCAGGTGGAGTCCTGCACCATGTTGCTGTAGAAGTCCCCCAGGGTGGAAAAGTTCGAGTTCAGAGTCTGGAGGTAGAACCTTTGGGGACATGAGGGTCTCCGGGGTTGAGGTTGTAGGACTTCGCTACATATATATATATATACATATACATATACATATACATATACATATACATACATATATATATATATACATACCGTATACCGATTTAGGCATTTATGGTGTAGGTGTGGAGGGCCTCAGGGCTACTTTCTTTCTGGTACTAACATAGACAGCAATTTTCAATTGTCTTCTTGCTGCAGTTTAGGGCATCGCGTTTTAGGAGGCCATAACATTGGTGCTCCAAGACGAAAGGCAGCACGTAGGTTTGACAACAACTTCGCCGGATGGGCTGCTTTGCAGCTTGGAGGTCTTTGAATTTGGAGTGTGGAGTTCAGGGTTTAGGAAAGGGGTCAGGGCTTAGGGTTCGGGGTTGAGAAGTTGCTCAGAGGCTCTGAGGACGTAGGATTTAGGCTACACGCAATTTGTGGGCAGACCCTCCATGACCTTCCACACTAACGAACCCTCAGCTTCCGGGCGAGTCATCAGCTTCCCGACGACTCGTGGAAATGGGCAAATTGACATCGGGGAACTAAAGCTATAAGCAGAGTTGTAGTTAGGCAAGGTTTAATCAGTTTAGTCAGGTCGGACAGCACCCTGAATCTTGGCACCTGAGAAAAGCCTTACCATGCCTTACTTGCCGCCTGGGGGCACGAAGGACAGCAGACTCCCGGCCTCACCATCTAAAGGGTTTTCGGGGCTTTAGCTAGGCTTGGAACCTGGAAGGGATTTAGGCTTTAATTTAAGGGTCCCGGGCTTTGGGGTTTTGAGGGCCTACGGCTCACCTGCCTCGTAGGATTTAGGAATGAAACCTTTGGGCTGTTGGGTGTTTGGGCCTTCGGCGCTGCAGCACTTTTGCTCTGGGCTTGAGTTCTTTGGGCTTAACATCTTCGCCATGCGCTTTGAGACTCAAGGTTTGGGCCAGGAGTTGGGTGTTACACGAATTCCTGGAAATGTACTCATTTGGGGCTTCCCAATGTACTTATAATTGAAAGACACCCAAGGCCCGGTTGAATTCATTCAGGTCCACTTTTGCTTCACGGTTTGCTGCCCAGTGCGGGCCCCGGCTCGAAACCACCAACGTCCGAAATAATTACAAGACTCCACGAAACTAAGCTGAAATCCTTACAAAGGCTCCTTCGGGCCCGAAACACTAAACTTCATAGATAATATTCGTTTACACGGTGCCAGACGGGAAATACAAGGGCAACCGCACGAGCTCATCATAGATTGTAAGGAATACCTCTTTGGATGCTTTGCCCAGGAACCTAAACCCGACGAAACAACCGCAAGCCGCACTCTATGCTGAGCCCTCTCACAGGCTCGATCTAAATAGATCAAACCGCCTAACTCCCTAGCATTAACCCATTCCTAGCAGCTTCAGCTGTGAGCCACCATTCTTATATGACTTATCTGCATTACAATCAAGACAGAAGCAAGAACCGACACCCAAACCCTGCAGTCCTGCAAGCCAACCAGAGAGCGTTTAAATGCTACTTCTATGTATGCTCGATGCACACGGTTATGACGCCTCATATGTCAACTATGCGGGGCTAGGAAACCCCAAACACCCTATACAAGGCTATGAGATCCAACTGAAACCCTACGGAAAGAATGTGAGACCGTAGTCGAGCCCGTGCAGATCCACACTGGGCGTCCGGCGTGCATCTGCCCAGACATTGCTAGCTTGCCGCCATAGAAGAGCACCAGAGCCGTCACGGCCTCCATTTTTGCAACTTTTGAATGCTTCTATAGAATGCTGTGCTTGATAAGCTTGTTCTATGGATGCTTACACGGGCTAGGGTTCGGTTAGGTTGTCTTGAAGTATCGTCGGACCTAGAAGCTTGGCTACCTTTCAGCTTTCGCTACCCTAGGTGGCGGTATCCTCGTTGCTACCACCCTGCTCTATTACCCCGAAGCTCATAACCTCAAAAGCTCCAAATCGTAGAGCAATTCTGAAACCCCCGCACCCGACTTATCAAGCTCTCTGAGTTTTGAAGTGCTGTTGCACAAGGCCATTGGCTTACAGTTTACAGACCTCAACAGTTGGAGTAGGTTCTATGGAGCTTTTTGAGTTTGCTTTTAACTTCCGGCTTTAAGAGGCTTCACGGCTTCCTGTAGGATCCTGAACAAGTTGAAGGTCTGCGAGCATATGAAATTATACTTCTGTGAGGCAGCCCACAGTAAGGTGACCATACTACTTGTTCTCCACACTTCTATATTGCATGTGTTCGACCATGCTTTTTGACACAAGCAGGGCTTTGTCGGTGCACTTTGGGGCTCCAGGGCCTAGGGTGCCAGTGCTTTGCGTTTTTGCGTCATAGCGGCTATCGCAGGTGTAATCCGCTGGTTTGCTGTTGAACCTAATCACAAACTCCGGCCCGCCTGCAAGAGCCATTCTTCAGAACCTATGCATTCCTCAGTAACGATGGTTGACAGAAGTTGAGCAACGCACATTGAATTTCAGAGGGATCTTTAGCATGATCTAAAGAAATGAAGTCTTTCCTAAGAACACTCTGAGTCTCCGGATGGTGCAAACCCTGAGTGACTGCCCCCAAATTTGGCCACATGGCTAGCTAGACGCCTGAAGCCAGCCGAACAACGTTCCACCACAGACAGCCGGACAGCCTGCGGAAGCATCATCGCTGAACTGAGGTACACCAGGTAGAAGGCTGCACGGCGGTTCATGAGCTTCCTGGAGAACTGGCGGAGTTTCGGAGGGTTTGGTAGAGTCAAAATTGGGTATATGATGGCGCAGGGATTTTCGGCAAAAGGTGACCGTCTTACAGTTTACTGAAACCTCCAAATACAACAGTTTGAAAAATACAACCCTCCTAAAACTGTAAGAAACCGGTATGAAACCCTCTTAACCCCAACGTTCCACAAGCCCTCGCCTGAAGCCTACTCATACCAGGCCTTCATACCTCGGTCATCAACACCTCCCTAGTGCCGTTACCTTCCCGGCACGGCTACTATAAGTCCTAAGGAAATCCCAGACCTAAGGCCCGAAACCCTAAACCCTAAGCCCCAGCCCTAAAGCTTCTCCTGAAGCACTCCATGGCAACGAAAAAGCGATCGCTCTCCAACTTCTCCGCTGCGAAGCTTCCTCGGGGGTGTAGGGTTCTCGGGCTTCGACACAAGGTTTAGGGGTGATGGTGTAGGATTTTGTAGAGTTTGTGATTCCGTGGAAAAAATTTTTGGGGGGCTCACGAACTAAACTCAGCTACGACAGTCGTGAACCCTGGTCCCCGGAAGCTCCTTTTGGCTACCTGGCAAGCCAGGCAACCAAACCATATTCTGACAGCCCCTACAGTCTACTTAGTGCTCTTGCTTGGAGGATCCAGAGATCAACCAGCCATAAGACCTTAACTTAATCCAGACAATAGGATGCTTTCTGTTTATCCCAAAAAGAATATGAAGAAAGCTTCATTAAAGGTTGGGCATGGGAAGACAACCTTCCCGAAGCAGCTGGAATGCTAAAACCCGGGTCCGATCCGAAGCAGCCAGACAAACCCTATCTGTGGCCCCAGAAACTACCTGTTTAGGGCTCCTTGTTATGGCTTCCTTACTTGTAAGTTGCTGCCAGTAAGTATACATCCATGTCATGTGTACTTGTGTACATACATACATACGTGCATTCAAACAGTTCAATCCCAAGCTCTACATGCTGAGAACGCTGAAGCCACGGTCTAGTCGGATGCAGCTGCGCCACTGATCGTGGGCATGTTTGCCAGGCCTCAGCGAATCTTGCAGTCTCATTTGTGCAGTACTCTGTCTCATTACCGCTAGAGTTGAAGGTTCGTTAATGTAGGATCTGGGGCTATTGTGATTAAGATAAGTATTGCATTTGCAGGTTTTTAAAAGCACGATATGGTTTGTTCGGTTCCTTCAAGGCTTTCGATAGTAGTGTATTCAAGCAAGAATGTGTGTTTGTTCCTCCTACGGTTTAGGGTTTAGGCTAGTACACTTATTGCGTTCAGGGTTTGGGGCGGACACAGGACTAATTGCGTTTGTTCTTGCAGTGTGAAGTGCTTATGGTTGAACCCTAGCACAACTACCAGACTAAAACGAAAGCATATCTGCAAAGACCGAGGATCCTTCATCTGCCACTGCATTGGCATCTGCCAATGCTTTCTGCGTCCGCGTGCTCAAATCTTTCCTTTAGCGGCGCTAAGGGTTTTAGTTGGGAGGTTGATCAGGGTTCTATGCGAGGGTTTGGATGGAAGCATTTTGCATGGTTCAGGGTTAGGTTTAGGGTTCCCGGATGATCATTGCCTTGTCCAAACAGCTGCCTGTCTACACACGGTCGGATTATCTGTGCCTCAAAGAAAAGTTGCCTACCCAGCTACGAAAGGCGGAAGGGTTTATGTAAGAAAATCAAACCCTACAGTCCTCCTGGGGCAGAAGCCCTCGAGCTACAACTGCGAGTTTGGTTTGGGATCTATTTCTTTGGGATACGCCCAGGAGGAAGATAAATACATATTCTGTGGGATTCTATCAGTCTGGCAATGGCTGGGCTAGCATGCATAAGTTCTGGGCATGAAGAGACTGAACAGGCAAAGTTCTGCGCGTATAGAGAGACTGAACAGGCAAAACCTAGCAGCACACAGAGAGCAAGCATGTCTGCTTGCGCAAGTTTTGCTAACCCTCCAGCGCCCCACGCATCCTGCAAGGAAGACATTCACATCCTAACACTACTACATGGCGCTATTCTGCACTGTGGAACCCCAACACATGTACTGGGTGAGACTCTGGTAAGTAACCTAGTCGGTTAGAATCCTGTAGTATAAAGACACCAAGGGACCGACCCCGCAAACAACGTTATTGGTCATCAGTGAATCAGGGCAGCTTAGACCACACCACCCCAAACCCCTAAACCTGAAAGCAACAACCTAAACCCGGAAGACCCAACGTTCCTTCAAGGTGTGGGCCCAGCCTTGCTTGAAGGATCAAAGGACAGAAATACAGCTGCATAATTAAGTAGTATATGGGGCATGAATGGGCTATGAATACCTCAGTTGGGGTTACCCTAGCTATGCTCCGATATACAACCTACTTAGTATTGCTTACCAAGGCCCCTGAGGCTTTCAAGCAGATCAGAGGACACTGAAACGGCAAGCCTCAGGGCTCTTCTGCTCAATCAGCTTTAGGATTACCAGGGTAGTATCTACAAAAAATTATCAGTTTAAATTTTAATACAGTATCAGTATTAATACTAGTATTAGTATGAATATCAGACCTTGTATTAGGTTTTATGTCAAACCGAGTCACATAATCTTCCCATACTTCATGGAGATTATGACGACCGCAGGCACGGAGACAAAGGCTACCAGAGTCAATGGAGTCGTGATTGCGAACATGAAAACCTCGGGCTGCGATGTTCGCGGGAAACGCAGCAAGTTGGCAGTCAGGCACGGCTCCTAGTTCTCGAATATCTCCTTGTTGAAAGGATCCCTCTAATTGTTCACAGGGGAACCCAAAGACATAAAGCAATCAACTTCTAATGCTGGCAGGACTTGGGGCTGTCATGGTTTGCTTCAGGCAACCCTCCCTCCTCTGCCCCCCAACCGCCCATCTGGCGAACCACACTGACGAAGATGCAACCCTGAAAACGAGAAAATAGACGGAACAGCGTGTGGCAAGATACGCACTTTTATGGCCCTATGGAGTAGTACTGCTGTAATACTACTTAGTTAACAAAACCTCAAAAAAAACAAAAAGCAAGAACGAAGGTCCTATATGGCAAAGAGCCAGGGTGGTGACGATGGAGACCATCGTCCTAAGGAAGATGTTGACGTTTAAGTAGACTTGCTCGACCACCTCAAGGGAGGCTTGACATGGGGACATAGGGGTCTTTATAGAGTGCTTGTCAGGGGTTTCGCAGGGTTCCTTTATATAATCTGTATAACGCTTGACATGGGGTGCTTACAGGGATTTTGCACGTGTTGAATGCTGTTAAGGGCACAACTCAGGTACCCAGTCAACGGATTGGAGGTTCTCGAGCACAGGCTCGCATCTTTTTGAACACATTTGGGGTTTCGTGCCTACCGTTTTGGTCGACTCACCTTCACACGCGTACCAGAGCCCTGAGCCCCTAGACACCCGAAAACAAAGCCGAAACACAACAGCTCCAAGTCAAAGACCACAACGAAACCCTAAACCCTATCACCCCAATCTCCCTCGAGCTCGCCTGTGAACAGTCCTGGGTCATGCGTGATGTCAGTTCCCCCGTCTGCGTAGTGTCGAAGAAACCGATCTCCTCAAGGTAATGGGGGTTTGGGGCATTAATCAGAAAGAAGAAGAACGGGTTTTCTGAGCGCGCGATAGGGGGATAATATCACTACCTTGCGAGGATTTGCGAGGTAGCCAAACCTCTGTATTGCGGTGTCCAGTGGCTCGGTGTCTGCAGGTTTATCGCACTCAGTAAATCCTCATTCCCCGCCTATGAACTAAGCTTGCATGATTCGACTCTTAGTTTAGTTGTTTCTACCCTATACACATGTTAGACACTAAGACTACAGGAGTTCTGATTGTTCAGACGCTATAGTAGGAGTTGAAGGATCAAGGCCTAATCAGGGGTCTAGGGGTTAGAGTTCAGGCTGGTGGAGTCGTGGAGGGTTCGGAGATCCAGGCAATCTTCGCACCAAGAAATTACCCGGAGATCCAACTATCAGGCAAAAGCGGACTACTTCTCCAAGCAACAGCAGACAATTCTTGAGCCACAATCACTGAGAAAAGCGCCCTGAAGGAAACCGTAAAGGAACCCCAAAAGATTCTACGAAAAGTTCCACGCAACCAGAACCCGAAACCCTCAATCCCTAAACATCTCCCCCAGCGCTTCCTGGCGAAGAAGCGTGGCGAACAGGTGGCAACGGAGGCGGACCCCGACCTGGGATTTACTCGAACTGTCCAGGTGTTTCCTTCAAGCGGCCCAGAATCTCCTAAGCAAATTCCTTGGGCTTCTTGGAGTCTCAGAACTCCTTTTGGGGATCGGTTTTCGGTGAAGCGCTTCAGGGCTTCGGGCTCAGGAGGTTTAGGCTCATGAATTTACACTGCTTACCTTGAATGGGCTTACAGGGTCATGCAAATCATAAAGGTGTTGAGGGGTTTTATCAGGTTTGGGAAGTCTCATTCTACTAGGAGTTAGGAAGCTTCATATGGGGGCCTGCAAAGTTCGGCTGAAGTGTTGGTGTATATAGCGGCTCAAGTCAGCGAGATCTCTGCTTGCACGCCACCCCTAGTTGGGGAGAGGCCCCGAAGGTTCTTGAGCTTTCAACTGTGGTAGGGTGCGTATGTATATACATACATACCCTATGATTCCAACCACCCTAGAAACCTAGGGCGTTGCCATTACCACCCTACTTTGTCCCGTGGTTGGGAAATCGTGGCCGAACCACCTAGTTAGGGACCAAGCAAACCCCCTTCCATGAAACAGAGACGATCCTCCGAACAACCTCAATTCGACCCGACGATGTTCAAGAGCCTGCGGACCCGAACCACCCTGAAATGACCCATTCGAAAGTCGAGGAATGGAACTCGAACCACCCCCAAAGAGACCTCAACAATATGACCCTAAATCCTCAACCCTAGGGCCTTAAACCCTAGACCCCTAAACCCTAAATTCTGGGGTTGAAACCCTAAACCCAAGGGCCCGAAACCCTGAACCTCAGGACCCTGAAGCCTCAAGCCTAGGGCCTTCCTAAACCCGGACTTTTAAACCCGGCCCCAAATCCTAAACCCCACAAGAGCCCCACAACCCTAAACCCAAGGACCCAAAAGCCTCAACCCTAGGGCCTTCCTACTGGGTCGGGTGCTGTGGCTTTGGGGCTCTGGTACTTTCTCTGGGGTCGGGGGCTCGGGGACCAAGTTTGGCTGGGGGTCTCGCGTTGAGGTTTGCTGCTTTGCTTCGCTCAATTTCGTAGACTGGGCTTAAATTTTGGGGCCCAGTACTGGGGCCTAAAACCCTAAGCCAAACCCTAGGACCCCAAACCGTAAACCGTCGGACCCTAAACCCTAAACCCACCCCGGAACCCCATCGATGTTTTCCGGGCGCTCGGGATCACGATCGTCGAGCCCTTTGGGCCGCACTGGCATTCAAACCCATTCGGCGAACTTTATATTTCATCGCCAAAAGCCGGAACCCGGCAACTTTGAGGACATGCCTTTCGTAATGTCGCCGCTTGTTGGACCTCGCAGAAAGTCCTCGGATTCAGAAATTCTTTGAGGGGCCGAACTTATATAGTGTTGGGTGCGGGGGTATTCTATGATGGCTTTGGGGCTGTGCGCTTCAGGGTTTGGGGCTCAAGTTCCAGGGCCCTCATAGGTCGATTATGGCTTTTCCAATGCCGACGGGGCTCTTTTCACATATGACATGTGGTCCTCGTCGAGGGCTCCATGAAGAAACCTTTGATTCATACCTCAGAGCAGCAGCAGGAAGCTAGAACACGGTCGTGGCCCGTTTTGCCGTCAAGTGTCACCAATCTCGGGTCATGATGAGCTGTTCGTGGAAGGCCTCGGCCACGGCAGCCCAATTGCAAACTCCAAGCCCCCACCGTAGTCGCTGAGCAGAGCACATGAAATTTGGGTTTCAGCAGCCATCTTTTCAGATTCTTCCTGCCGAGGAGAAATGTGTGCAAAGGAATCCCTTTTCTAGTGAGGAGCCCCAGCAGTCCTTTGGCACAGCCTTGTGAGGGCCACATGTGACTCCAGGAAGCCGATCCCCGCCGAATAGAGCTGCATGGCTTCGTCCACAGTCCTGGATTGATCGGGCTTAGGGTTTAGGGCTTCACGTGCAGAAATCCATGAAGCCAGGTTTCAAAAACCGCCGGAATCCCTCGGACAAGTCCATATAGGAGCTGATGGAGGTCCTCGAATGAGAAGGAGAATACCACTACACATGATCAGAGACATTCCTGTCTAGCCACAGAAAAAGAAAAAGGAAAGGGTGAAGGCCCCAGTGAAATTGAATGAGGGTGGAGCCGAGGGGCAGAGCATGTGTCATAAGACACAGCTCATCGCTGGGGTTTGCAGTACCCTGCCAGGCCTTCTGTGCCTCTGATGCAAGCCAGGAAGCAAGAATCCTGCTGTTGAATCCCTTGCAACTCATATATGCACCATGCTTCGCTTTGTAGAGCATGCCAGGTGTAAACGGCCGCTGAGAACATGTAACCTTGTTGGCAGACTTCCAGTCGCAAAAGTCGGCCCAGGCCTCTTGAAGCCGAATTTTGATGTCGACATCCGGCAGCCCCCACCAAGCCATGTCCAGCAGGCATGCCATTGCCCCCCCATTGGCGGTCCAGAGCCTCTTCGGACCATTATTGCTCAAACTCGACAAGCGGAAAACCTTTTAAGGACAAATGCTGCCAGGAGACAACCCCAAGTACAGGTTGTGGAGCAAACACCACGTGACCTTGGAAGGATGAAAGTCTGTCAGCAGCACCAACGGCGAAGCGTCGTGCTTTGAAACCTCAGCCAAAAAAGCAGGAGTGTCCCTGAAATCCAGGTCAGTAGCCAAAGGCAGGTCTGCCATTCTTTGCCGCACCATGCGGCAATGGTGGCAAACCAAAGGAGCATTCCAATGGGATCGCAGGGATAGGGCCTCACGAAAATACTTCCAATCCCCACCGATCTCGGTGACGATGAAGCAGCGACCGTCCTGGGTCAATGGGGTGGCTGCTGCCCTGTTTAGAGCAGCCACGATATGACCAATGACAGGTTTCAGGGTTGCCCAGCCGAGGTAGCTGTCATCCAACGACAAGATGGAAAGCAAAAAGCGCGAATTCCTCGCACTGCGTGGCCGCCACAACGGACAGCTGAGCACGAATGCGAGGGCTTTGTCGCCCATCCTGCAGTTCCACAAACACCAAAAACATCTGGAAAAAGCTCATGTTCGAGTAAAGCCGAGATGCTGGTTGAACGTAGCATCGTCGCCGAAGATTTTCAAGGGAATCGGCCATCCTCCTGGCTGGGTCGAATAGTCGACGTCTTGAGCCCAAGGGACTCCGGCTTGCTTGGCCTGCGTCCAATAATCCTCGATGCTCTTCGAAGAAACTTTGAGACCCACCTCGTTCCAAAGAAAACGGAGAACCTCGTCGGCATTGAAGATTGGAATATCCTTGTATTCTATTTTGGTTTCGCTGACTTTCACAGGCACCGAGCACGAAGTCATCTCCTTGTATCGAGCTTGCAAGGGAACAGAACACGTGTTATCGTACTAAGAACCACCACCATAAACCAAATCCCCAAGCAAGCTTAAAACCAACAGCCCCGAGCTTGCACTGATAAGAAACCCCACACAAAAAATACAATCCTGACGTAAAGGCTACTGGCCCCCAGCCCTTATTATTTCTGACCTATAGCTAAATCGCGACCCGTGGCTCGAAGGGAAGTTTCCGGGCAGCATTTCCCCGCCCTTGGTAGCTCGCCAGCTTCTTCGTTTTCGCAGACGAATGGCCACGGCTATCCTGGGGTTTTATTCGAATTCAACTCTAAACCTGAACCCCTAAACACTATTTTTAGATCCCCTAAACCTTCAAGTGGTTTTAGGGTGTAGCCGTACGTGTATAGCCTGAGGATGGTTTGCGGGTTGCAGCGGGGTTCTGGGCTTAACCTTTAGGCTTCTACTCCAATTAAGGCCTAAGCTTATATTTATTTTACAGATTCCTCAAAACGTGGGGCCCACTCCCTCAGCACACGGGTTGAGCCTTTATGGGGTTCTATATGTTGCGGCTTTAAGATTTGGGGGCCTCGTGGTTTCGGGAGTTAAGGGTTGCGGCTTCGGCGGTAAAGCCATGCTCCTTGGCGGCTGCAGCTGCCGCCTTCATCTGTCTTTGGATGCTCGAGGCCTGGGCCAAAGCTAGTACAGTAATCAGGGCCGGCGTGAATACTATCTCGGGTCAAACCAACCAAGAGCCATACCCCATCACCAATCTCCTCGAGCATATGCAAGAAAAAAGGGGCTTGATTTTCCAGATCTTCATCCTCCGTACCTGGCATGCGGCTGCCGAAACCAGGGGTCCATGGTTGATTGTGGGATGTGCTTTGTACTGCAAGAAGCCACTGCAAGGTCCTTTTCATCGTCGGTCCGGGCCATAGCTAGGGGCTGGGTCTAAGGATTCGGTGCATTCCCCCTGCACGAACCCAACCAGCCCGTGGTTTGCACGAACAGAGAGCCCTCAGGAGGCTTCAGAATCGTCGCATTTGCATCATCCAGATCGATCTAAAGCGATCTGACAAGCACAGACACAGTGGCATCTGCACTGTGTCCAGGCTCCACGTTAGATCTCGATCTCTAGAATACGATATACATGCACTTTAGCTTCTCTAGCTCATCAGTACAGGACGAGTGCCCCTAGCTGACGATCAGCTGTTTGGCAGCAGTGCCTAGCTACGAAGCCTAGAGCTAGTGATCAGGATCCTACTTGGAGCCCGGCTTCCCCTGATTTCCCTCGTCAGTTCTCTTGGCCGACAGCAGGAAGCGGTCGATGGCGTCGATCAAGCCGAGCACCACAGCCTGCTGGTCGGGGATCTCCTTCACCTGCCGCTTGCTTGGGATTTACACGGGGTTCAGGGGGCTTCTATGGCGAACTTGTGTTAGGTTTGGTGTTTTCGGTGAAGGTTCGGCTTTGGCATTTGCATGCACTTTGGGGTTTAGGCCTAGCCATGGGCTTTAAGGATTTAGGCGCTCAGAATTTGGGGTTTACCAATTTGGGGATGATGGTGTACTACAGCAGATTTTGCTAAACCTTTCGGGCATTGTCGTGCTGCTGCTAGTAATAATTACAAGATCATTCTGATATGCCCCCTAAACCCTGTAAGCCCTAAGTATATAAATAAATCCCTGATATAGCATGCAATCCCTCAACCCTCACCCCTCACCATTCTCTTCCAAAATACGGTTTAATATAGGTGCCCAGACCTTGCCAGCGTCGATGAAGCTCTGCAGGCGGTTTCGCATCTTGCACACCTCCTTGCTTTTGATCTGCAAGTCGTCCAGGTAGGCTTTGCGGAGCACATCGGACCTCCAGAGGCCCAGAGATTTCGGGGCATAGGGTTTAGGGTTGAACCTGGGCCACATTTGCAAAGTTAAGGGCAAGAGATTGGTTGCGAGGGACATGTCGGCCAGCTCCGGCGACTTCATAGTGAGCTTTCCCACATACTGGATGCGATTGTTCGCCGTTTGAACAGCCTGCAATCCAGGGATCTGGATGGCCTAGACGACCCCCTGTAATGCTCCTGAATCTCTGGCCTTCTCGGCATCTTTCATGACATCCGGCGGGCCCTCCAAGGCCTTCGGCTTCCGCGTCGCGGCTGCTTTGCCCTTCGCCTGGTGGGGCAGGACGGGTCTTTCGGATTTCTTTATGTTGGTTTTCGGAGGCCTAAGGCCTAAGGGCACACCCCAGACATGATATGAACCCGTCTTGTCATGAACCTGACACCGAAGCCATAAACTGATAACCCTAACACCGTACCATAAACCTGTGCTGCCCCAAACCCTGATCCCTAAAAACCAGAAGCCCTAAACCCTATAGCACGGGATTTTCACGAGGGTTTGATTATGGAATTCTGTGTTTGGGGCTTTAGAGCTTGTGGGGCTTAAAGGTTTCCAGGGCGAAAGGGTCTCAGGTTTAGGTTTCGTGCTTTGGGGTGTATAGGTTTCCCTGCCTTGGCCTTAGCAGCACGGCCCTTGGGGTACTTGGCTCGGCGATTGCAGCCTCTGTTCGGGGAACCGCCGTCTTCGGACACCGTGAGAAGCTTGGAAATCCAATCTTCTTGGATATCCTCCTCCGCCTCGGAGTCTAGGATCCAGAATTGCTGGGCCTCCTGGTAGCAGGCGGCTAGAAATTGCAAGGTGCAATGCGTACGGCTGGATTGGTAGGACTTAACTATAAAATGAAAAATTATGTAACACAAGCCTTGACCCCCGGACAATCGGGATGATCCCTGATTTCGGGAGAGTCTTTCACGGACCGCTTGTGCTCCACGATGGCGTCGGCCACTGTCTCACCCAGCTTGCTGACTATCTCTTGGTAAGTAAGCCACTTTTTGACTCCCTTCCGAGTTTTGGTGTTCTTCGAGCACACGTTTACGTAGACACAGGACTTTCGCCAATCGCCCTCGGCATTGCACCAGGACTCGAAGAGATAGTGCAGACAGGTGAGTCCTGGAACAGGAAAACCCAACACATATTAATACTTGATTGTGAATCATCAGTACACTGTGGGGCTCTCGTCTGAGGCTTGGGCTGCCCTCCCCAGCCGACTTGGCATTCTCGCCCACCGAATGGATCTGGCTCGGCGACCGTGGGCCTATGTCTCCAAACAGGACGGGGTATACTAAACCCTATAAGCCGACATGATATATAGTGTAGATCAAGGGGCTCTCGAGGCTCCTCATGAACCGGGCCCACTTCGCATGTGCCTGCAAGTAGGCTTGTCTCTTCTTAGCCTGCTTGGCCTCATCCTGCTTTGAATCCGCTTCTGCGGATGGCTCCTCCTGCTGCTCCTGGCCACCTGCATTGTCCCCTGAAGCCCCAGGCTGTTGTTCCCACGACTTTTCCCAGCCCCCGCTCCACCAGCTGCTGTTGTTGCCGTACCACCAATGGTTGTCCTGTCCGGCACTTGCATTCCAGGACCAGGAGCTCCAGGATTCATCGGCCTTCTCGGCAGCATCCTCCTGGATGGGTTTAAGGGTTTAGGGTTTCACGGTTTAGGCTTCAGGGTTTTGGGTTAAGGGGTTTGGGGATTTGGGGTTAAGGGTTCAGGTTTCAAGGTTTACCGTTAAAGGCTTTGGGGTTAAAGTGTTTAAGGGTTTAGATTTAGAGGGTTTGGCGTTCAAGGGTTTTGGCTGTAAGGTTGAAGGGTTCAAGGGTTTTCAAGCCCTGCAAAGCAGGAGAGCATGTTTGTATCCTCGGCGACAAGTCGGAGGTTGGAGACTTTTGGGTTGAATCGTTTGGGGTGTGAGGGTTCGTGGTTTTCGGCTAGGCATCGCTAGCATGGACCACAATCCAGGGAGAAACATGGCTTACAAGGCTGTGCCATGATGCGATCTGGTCTGTCCTGCTTGGCGATCTTCTTCGGCGGCTCTGCGACCTGTCTCGAGCAGCTAGGGTTTATGTAGGGCTCTCGGGTTGTAGGGAGAGGGCTTTTAGAGGGCACCTAGTGGGGCTATCGGGTTTTTAACCAGGGCCTGGTGGGAAGACTTCGCCGGGGTCTGCTTCTTCTCGGATTTGCTGCCTTCCTGCGTGCAGAGTGTGTGGGCTATTCTTAAAGAAAGCACCCTCGGAATCCTTCGGCGAAGTCTGCTTCTTCTTGTTCTTGCCGGCTTCCTGCGGAGTGGCTTCGATTCTATTTGCTTTGCTTTTGAATTTGGAATCTTAAAGAATGCCTCCTTCGGCGGGATCTGCTTCTTCTCGGGCTTTTTGTCTTCCTGCAGGGTGACTATATATCGATATCTGCTGGTTTAGAGTAGGAGATTGGGATCTTAGATCGAGTTAAAGCCTCCTGGGAACTCTTCGGCGGGGTCTGCTTCTTCTCGGGCTGGCTGTCTTCCTGCAGAGTGACTTATCACATGTAATTTGCAATAGGAGTTTAAGGATCTAAAAGAAAGGCTCCTGGGAACTCTTCGCCGGGATCTTCTTCTTCTGGGGCTTGGTGTCTTCCTGCACACTATATATATCTGGTTTAGCAGGAGTCAGGGATCTTAGCAGAGTTAAAGCCTCCTCGGAACTCTTCCGCGGGGTCTGCTTCTTCTTGGGCTGGCTGTCTTCCTGCAGAGTGACTTATCACATGTAATTTCCAATAGGAGTTTAAGGATCTAAAAGAAAGGCTCCTGGGAACTCTTCGCCGGGATCTCCTTCTTCTGGGGCTCGGTGTCTTCCTGCACACTATATATATATATATATATATATCTGGTTTATTATTAGCAGGAGTCAGGGATCTTAGCAGATCAAGGCCTCCTCGGAACTCTTCGGCGGGGTCTGGTTCTTCTCGGGCTGGCTGTCTTCCTGCAGAGTGACTTATCACATGTAATTTGCTAGGAGTTTTTAAGGATCTTAAAGAAAGGGTCCTCGGAACTCTTCGCCGGGGTCTGCTTCTGCTCCGGCTTTCTCGCTTCCTGCAGAATGGGTGTTAATTGGATTTTGGGATCGCTTATTATTTGAAAGGCCCCTTAGAATCCTTGGGCGAAGTGTGCTTCTTCTTGGGCTTGATGGCTTCCTGCTCAGTGTCGCGAATTATTATAATTTGCGTTGGAGTTTGGGATCTTGAATCAAACACTGCTGGGAATCCTTAGGCGTGGTCGGCTTCTTCTCCAGCTGCTTGTCTTCCTGCAGAGCGACTTCTTGCATTTGGTTATATGTAGGAGCACCAGGGTGTAGGGTGTAGGGCTTCGGGGTTTGATTATGTTTTTCCCGAACCGGAAACTCAAAGCTTCAGGTTCCAACCTCTGCAACTAAAGAGCCCTTCGGGGCGAGGGTTATGTAGAGGCCTTGATAAGAAGTAGCTATCGAAGAGGTCTTGGGGCTAGGGCCCGTGTTCAGGACTTTGGGTTCAGGGGTTTGGGGTGTAGCGGTTAGGGTGTGATGTAGGGGCCTCTATTGATATGGGTCTTTACCTGGAAGGGGCCTGCGAGATCCCAATTGGGTGTAAGTTTCGGGTCCTAGATATTATAATCAGGGACCCATCCACCCGTCTTTAGAAATGCCAATCACTGCTTGTGCACGGGATACGTTTTGTCGTGTCTGTCGACGATCAAGTCTTCTCTTGATACATGTCTCCCGCACAGATCAGATTAATCCAGTGTGTGGAGGTCACACGGCGGGAAGGCTATGGCACATACAGCCCCTGTGACTTGCAACTCTTGGAATGCCGGCGAACAGAAATGCATCTCCGCTTCATTCCGTGGACCCAGCACAGAATAGTACAAGGATGCAGGAACGGAATAATAGGATAGCGATATGAAGCATGACGAAGACAGAGCCGTCACGGTACGGAAGAACACAAAATCCAGCTTGCAGCCCTCCAGGATCACATTGTCCCAACGAAGTTCATATGGAGTATATGCACCAGGAGCCACTGCAAACATTCCATGATAAGGCCCCCAGAGATGCAAAAGGTATTCGCTTCTGCGTTCGATGAGAGTGAGGTGCTCATTCCACCTGCCATCATAGTCGTCCCCTTCATCGAGGATAATCGACAAAAAATAAGAAGAGCCTGCGAAAGCGAAGACTCTATCCCAGAAGACTGCGATACCTGATACAGTGTCCATGGCGGCAGGCAAGTACTTTGGGATTCCAATAAAGCAGAGCCAGAAAAAGCTTTTGTGGCAAGAAATCACAGGCGTCGATTTGGGATTCGCGATACGGGGTCTAGGCTTTAGTGCGTGCTGACGGACCACGGCATTAGGCTTCACTCGGGCTAGCGGCCTCCTCCGAGGATTTCGGCGACTTCTTCTGCTGCGGCTGGCCCGGCTGGCTTGTGTCCTGGCCAGCGACGAAGTTTGAAGGTCTGGGGTTGTTGGGGTTTCGGGCTTGGCCTTCCCTGGCACGGGCGGCGCTTCCGGCTCGTCCTGACAGGATGCAGTCTAGCTATAATTTCAAGGCGACGAGAGGCTTGGAAAACAATGGCCTCTGCAGCTTCCAGATCAGATTGCAAGCTTCGGCGAACATCCTGGATCAAAGGGGGGATGTAGAGTTTAGGGGCTAGGCTACACCAACAGATGCGGGGGGAGGGGGGGTCCTTGGTCTTGATCTTCTTGGGTTCGGCAGCAGCAGACTTCGGGTTCTTCGACCACAGAGCAACATGCGTGGATGCATTGGAATCCTGCACAATGGGAAATCAGATCCCGACTCCTGTGCTCCCTACACTAGAGGAAGGGGTCCTGTGACTTGGCTCGCTTCCTTCTCAGGACCGGCTGCTCTTCCGGGGTACCTGTTGCATGCGTGTCTGTGTGTGCTAACTGATCACGACGACAGAGGCACTGCGGTGGCCTGTGCCAGTGGTGCAGCTGCCGATGCTGCTCCTTGGCCGTTATAGGTGGGCTTTTTTTTTTTTTCCTGGGGCTTCGGGCTGGCCTGGAGCTTTCTTTTCGGAGTGCATGTCGGGCTTGGCGCCCGTCGGCGAGGAGCTGCTCCAAACACAAGGCATCCATGGCTGCCGTCGTCGGCAAGTAAAGCTGCTAGCTAGAGAACACCCTCGCCAGCAAAATGCTGGCTGTTGCTGGAGCACAAAACCACAACCGAAAGCACGTGTGCGAGTGCCCAGGCGTGCCACTTGTGCACCCGGCCGGCGACCTTCTCACGGTTTCTCACGGTTTGCTCACGGTTTCCATTAAGAGCTTTGCTAGACTTAGGCCAGGCCAAGGATGGGCCTTCTCACGACTTCTCACGCTTATCTCACGCTACTTTGGGGTCCTAGTGTTTGCCCGGAATGGCTGGCCCAAGCAACCGGAAAAACGGCGATCAGCTGCAGCAGCCCGGCGTCAGGTCCAAGTGTCCTGCCAGAGCTTGCCGTCACACACCGTAACCCGACCGTACCCTGCCCCTACCCCACCTAAACCCTACCGTAAATAAACCCTATCCCCTACCCCTACCTATACCCTCCCCCTCCCTCTATGCCTTGACAGCAAGCACCATACGGGCGACTTTTTTGTCGGCGGCTCACTTGCGTTCCACGAACCAGTGAATTTGGTTCGCATTGTACAAACGGTGAAGCACTCGAAGGTACCACTTGTGGAAGTCTTCTCTTCTTTGCTCAGGTGTTTCGCTGTCGTCGTCCTTCTTCTTGTCACCATCTTTCTTTCTTCTGTCCTCCCTGTTGACGGCCCTGATCGCCCGAAACAGTGCCCGAGTTGCCTTCAAGGCAGCAGCCAGCCTTTCTTTTCGCCTTCTTCTTCGGACCCTTCTGGTGAATCCCACCATGAGAGCTCGAGGCGAGGTGCTGGATCTCCGCCCAACACTAGCTAGCGACCTGCTGGATCTCCGTCCAACAGTAGCCAGGGCTTTGAGCACAGTGCTGCAGCAAAGCATGTATCACAGGGTTAACCGCTATTTATTATGTACACCACGAGAACAGTTGGGCTGAAGGTTTTGGGTCTGCTTCTTCAAGACAGGTTGGACGATGTCGTATATGTGTGGAGGGCTGGAACAAGTTCGGGCTAAGGGCCTCCAATACCCATCAGTCTAGGCTTTGGTGCGTGCTTTAGGCTTCCCTCGGGCTATCGGGCTCCTCCGAGGATTTCGGCGACTGCATCTGCTGCGGCCGGCTCGGCTGGCTTCTGACCTGGCGAGCGACGAAGGTTTCTCTTAAGAGGGGTTTAGGGTTTAGGATCTTCCAAAAGGGTGTCCTTCGAGGGGTTTCGGGATTAGTATCTTCCACAAGGGTGTCCTTTGAGGGGTTTCGGGATTAGTATCTTCCAGAAGGGTTTCTCTGAGGGTTTTAGGGTTTAGTTTGAGGCTTTCTAGTTTCGTTAAGTTTTGGAGTTGTAAACACCCCCCCCCCAAAAGGGCTTCTTTGAGAGCAAGGCTTAAGGGCAGCAGGGTTCAGGCGATTTGCCAGCTTCCAGGTCTAGGGTTTCAAGGTTTCGGATGATATATAACCATGCATGGTCCTGCAGGATGCAAAAGGTAATCTATAATAGTGATTGCACCGGGTCAGCCAGCACAGCATGGGACACCTTTTTTTCCTTCGGCGGGCTAGGAGGTGCGTCCTTTCATAGCCCGGATTCCGCACCGGCCACCGGTGCAATGCGATTATTAAGGTCATATCGCTTTGCGATATGAAAAGACTTGCATGAGGCCTTTGACACGCCTCGCACAGAAAACGCCAGCCGGCTAGAAGCTTGCCAGCCCTCATCGCTGTGAATCCCACATCACTCTTCACCTTTTCCCGGCTGTCCTGTGGGACCTGCTCCCTCACCGCTGTGAATCCGGCATCACTCTTCACCTTCTCACGGCTGTCCTGCGGGACCTGCTCCATGAGGACCACGTGCACCCCATGGTCCTGCCTGTGCGACTGGCACAGGAGCTGGCACCTGCTGCGGAGGGGGCGGCGCCATCTGCTGCAGCAACTGGGTGATCGTCTGCACCGTTGCAAATTGCATGTTGTAGACCGGGCCTGAGTAACACATGCTGAATGAAAGAGTCCAGCAAAAATCTCACGTATTGATCTTTAAAATTAAACAAAAAATTATATATATAATTAAATGCCAAGATGCTGCATAGCGAAGAAATGGTGTGCACCTCCAACATCACGGAATACCATATATCGCATTGCTCGCGAATCCAGACATGACGTGAGTTGCTGGCCCTCGCCATCATTCCTTCGAGCAGCTTGCTCATCGTCTCTGGGTTTTGCAGCCCATGAACTTGCACCGCCAACGGCGAGAGCAGCTGGAGCGTCAGCTTGGACACCTTCTTTCCCGAGCCCAGAAAGTGCTCGTGGAACTCATTGTGCCACCAACTCTTCTCGTCGGGAGGAAGCATCTGAAACTCGTCGGCGTAGCTGCTCAACCAGCGTTGATCCACCAGCCCGAGCTGCCTCTGAGCCTCAGTCCAGGCTTCCATGCACCGAAAGTACGCTCCAGTGTTCATGGCTTTAAACCCAGATCCGGCAGCCTACACTTCAGCAGCAAATTTGAGCCGCGAAACTTCACGTAACAAAAAACTGTCAATCAATGCATCATGGCTGCCATCATCTCCCTCATCAGCGACACCATCCGAACCCTACACCTTAATCATCATTAAGAGCAGGGTTTACAGGCTTAAGGGTTCAAGGTTTGGTGTGAAGGCCGTAGACCACCACCACCAGAAATGCTAAATCCTCCGAACCTCACACCTAAAGCCCCTGAACCCTTTGCTCCCAGGATGGGACCTGCTCCTTCATTTTCTGCTCTTGGGCCGCTTCGGCGTGTCGGCTGCCTGGCCGCAATAACGGTTTCAAGGCTTTAGGGTTGTGACTCCCAGAGTGTTAGCAAACTGGCATTTCATTGAATAATTTTTTTTACACTAATGTTACGGTTTTGCTATGATTTCAAGGATCCTTCCGGTTACGATTATGATACGATTTTGACATGGTTTACGATTTGGATACGGTTTGGATACGGTTTGGATGCGGTTCTGATACGATGTTCATACGATTTCGTGAAATCGTAACCAGAACCGTATCAATATCTTAAACGGGAAAACCCCCTAAATCATTTTATATATAATATCATAAAAATAATTCCCGGCGCATACCCTTAGTTTGCTATGTGTGGTATAGGGTTCAAGGCTTGGTGTCAAGGCCTTACACAACCAACAACAGAAATGTTAAATGCTCTGTACCCCTAAGCCCTTCGGTCCTTATACCCGCCAAAAACAATGGAATTACACCCCTAAGCCCTTATACCCCATAAAAACAATCCAATGTCCCAGGATCGGGCCTCATCGTTCTGGCGCCCTCTCTTCGGCTTCTTCGGCGTCTCGCTTGCCTGGCCGCCATTAATTAAGGCAACATGGCTTATAGGGTTTAGGGGTTAGGGTTTAGGGTTGAGGGTTTAGGGGTTACGGTTATAGGGTCTAGGGTTTTCAGGTTCAGGGTTTACAAGGGATTAGGATTGAGGGTTTAGGGTTTAGGGGTTCGGGTTTAGGGGTTCGGGTTTAGGGGTTAGGGTTTAAGGGTCAGGGTTTAGGGCCTAGGGTTCAAGCCTCGGATCCACAATGTTGCTTCGTGGCCGCCATAGGGTTTGGGGTTGAAGGGTTCGGGTTTAGGGGTTAAAGTTTAAGGGTCAGGGTGAGGGTTTAGGGGTTAGGGTTTAAGGCTTGGATCCAGCTGCTTCGAGGCAGAGTCGCTTACGGGCTCTCGGATTACAGGAATTGAGCGAGGACTAGCCTAAACCCTAAACCCGGCCTAAACCCTATATCAAGAGGCTCAAGCTGATCATGCTTGGCTGCGAAGTCGCCAGTCGTTTTCCACCAGTAGAATCGGTCTTCCCACTGCTGTTTGCTCATGACCTCGATAGGGTCCGGAGTCGTGGGATCTGAGGCGTGTCGAATGGAACGGGGTCGAGCCGTGTTGAAGGCTTGGTATAGCTCGAGCTTGAATTGGAGCTCGCAGAGCTTTTCGACCAGGTCCCCGACTGAGTCGATGCGGGAAGCGTTCTTTTCCTCGGATCTCTCCAGGTTCGTCCAATCTCTCCGGGTCGCCGCACTGGATGCCCCAAAATCGCCGCCCAGCTGGGTGCTGGCCAGCCTTCCAAACCCCTAATCCGGCAAAGCCCTAAGCGCCTAAGGCCTCAAACCCTCAGGCCCCCAAATCCTTTTTCCCGAAACCTTGACACTCAAGCCTTTAGCCTTTAACCCTAGGGCACCGAAAACCTTGAAGCTAAAACCTGAAGAAAATCAAGCCGTTAATTCCGTCCTAAGTCCTGGAACCACCAACCCTAGCTCTGTAAAGCCTGGATCATACCCTTGTCCAAAAATCAGATGGGACAGATCTATATATAAACCCCGCACACCTGATCTCACCGTACTTGGAAGCTCAAAGAAAATTATTATAATCCCACAACCCGAAAATACCGGAACTCCCCAAATCCTTATTGCAACATCCGAGGAACGTTTCTTCAACTATATCTACGTGGATGGCCCTGGGAGATCTTAATCGGGCCCTGGCATCACATTAAATGTTGTCGGTCTTGGGCCTTTGGAATCGACAAATTGATCATAGTAGGGAATGGGGCATGGATCTCAGGACTAAAGCGGGGCGTGGTTACTTCGTCCGTGTACACCCAAATAAGCCCTGAAGTTTGGGTTTGGGGTTTGGGGTTGAGCTTAGAGACCGAAATCCTTAGCAGATCCGACAAGAACTCCCTGGAACCCCTTTTTAAACCTATCAACCCAGAACAGCGAAAGGTCATAATAATTGAAACCCCAGTCCTTCGAAGCCCTAATCCAATTCTGAAAACCCACTAGGGCTCCCACGGATCTCGAAGATCGTGATGAATTCGCTGATGCGGGACGGGGTGGCTATTTGGGGTTAGAAGCCCACAGACCCTAGACTTAGAGTTTCGGGGTTTCGGGTTTAGGGTCGTCTTAAGCTTTTATAGTAGGTTTGAGGATTTCAAAGGCTTCCGGAATGACTCTTGGAGGTCCGAAGCCATGAAATCCGAAACTACCCATAAACCCTAAACCCAGCACTGTAATGCCCATAGGCTTCAATGCCGAGAGAAAACCCAAAACCAACATTCCCAAATAAGCCTGGCCTCCTCAAGGTCATTCCAGTTCGCAGCGATGCATGCACGGTGCCACCTCGGAGGAGGGGGGTTTGAGCTCACAGTGAAATGCAGGCAAGCTTGGGAAATTCCTGAGTTCCGTTCGCTGTCCGGAATCCTTTGTGAGCGGTCCAACAGAAGTTCGATCCTTTCTTTTTGTTCACCTGAGCGGGCGATCGTGGAAAATATTATCGATAAAGGATCCTCTTGACTAGCCTTGACGTCTGTCTTCCAGGCTCGATTGCACTTCTGGATGTGAGGCAGCGAGGTCTTGTTGACATAGAAGCAGCCAAGCTGAAACCTGTGTTCCAAGCAGAGATCGCGATTTGAAGTCAAACTGTAAGCTCCATGATATTAATTGCCAGGGAACAGAACAGCAATCGTAGATTGCGAGTTGCTCTGCTGCGGCAGCCGACACGTGAAGGACCTTGGTGCTCACACTGCCAAGACTTGGATTCGCTCGCAGCCACTGGGCATAATGCATGCGAGTTGCATAGTTTCGTCGAGGACATCCTGGGAGGGGACCTTCATGCGACTGTCGTCCTTGGCAATGGCCCGGATGGCACGGATGTTGCGGTCCCTGTTCTCCTGCCCGGGCGAGGGGGGTGTTCGGTTATTCGTTCGACGACCCTTATAAATTATTTTTATTGGTCCTTCTGGTAGGCACTGAGCGACGTGACTCGCTTGCATGCCTGGACGATGTTGGCTTCGATTCGAGCTTATTTGTAAAACTGGACATTGCAAGCCACAGACAGTCCTCCTCCACACTGGCGGGCGTTTCCACTTTCTCCTGGGCCCTCGGCTCCTTCTTTGCTTGTCCCTTTGCTTTCGCCTTCGGCTCCTTCTTCGCTTGTCCCTTTGCTTTTGCCTTCGCTTTGTTCTTCGGCTTGTCCTCCGCCTCCTCCAAAAGTACCTCATTCGTGGCCTTCTCGTCCTCTGCATCGAGATCGTCGTCCTCGGCCTTGACAGCCTGGTCGTCCTTGCTGCCCCTTGCGAGGCCTCGTCCACGACCACGGCCACGGCGGCCACGGCCGCGACCGCGTGGATTGCCTCGCCCTTGCACTGCCTCGTCTGTCTGCACCTCCGACAAGGTGGCGGCATTCCGGATCCTCTGCTGCACCTGCCAGAGCACGATTAAAACCGATCCAACTTAGAACCCGGGGCCAAAGCTGATAAGTAAACATCCAGGACTTTTTAGAAATTTGTAGAGCCGAAGGCTTTGGGCTGAAGGAGACATTGCGGAATCCATTATAGCATAGTCCCACATGATGTTTGGGTTCTACGGTTTCCTGGTTCATGATAGAGATTTCCAAATTGCTGCTTTGTCGGCTTTTATAATTCGGGCATTAGCTAGCTAGCCCTGGCAGTGAAACTTTTTGCGTCACTCATGCGACAGAGCCGGTTTCGACGAGTCAGCCGCTGGCTCCTGGGTTGGGGGTTTACAGGGGATTTGGTACTTCTAGGCTTTCTTGGCCTTTGGTAGGCTTTAGGGGTTTGGTGGATTCTAGGGATTTCGGTGTTTGGGCTTTCATATAGGTTTTCGGGGTTCGGGTGGCTTTAAGGATCTAGGGATTTTGGTGGTTGTATAGCGGGTTTGCGAGGTCCCTGTCCTTCACATCCTTCTCGCCATGCTCGGAAGCGGAATCATCCTGGGCCCAGCTATTATATAGAAGCCCCTGACGGAGTACTCCCATAAGACCCCCTTTACCTTATAGGACTGGTATGGGAGGCTTATGGGAAACTACAATATATAATATGATCTGATATATCCGAGCCACGATCTCGTAGACACCAGCGAAGCGTCGCTTCTTTGTAGATGGCTCCTGCAGGGCTACACACCCAACGGAAAAGCCCGTACATGAAGCCCAAAACCCTGAAGCCCTAAAGCCTGCACTAAGTCACTAAGCCCTCGACTCTACCCGAAAACTCAAATGTCCCAGCCTTGATTTTGGAGGTGTGCCCTCCCTCGGAGCTCGAGTCCCCCTCCACTGCTGGCCGATCCTTGGAAGGACTGAGTGTACACAAAACCCTGAAGCCCTAAAGCATGCACTAAGCCTGTACTTTACCCGAAAACTTCATTGCCCCAGCCTTCAAAGCGATTGGCCGCTTCTTCGTCGAGTCCACTGCAGGGTCATCCTGCAGGGACTAACTGATTATAGCGAAAGATACATCCACCCTACACCCCAGAATCCTTCAACCCCTAGCTTAGAATAGCCAAGCAACTCTCGGAGGACTTGGCTAATCCTGCAGGGATTAACTGCAGTTTATAAATACATGCACCCTACACCCAGAATCTTTCAACCCCTAGCTTAAAATAGCCAATGCCTCTGTGCTCGGCACATGTGTGCTCGCCGCAATAGGCCAAGGCCCAATCATGGGCGGAAGACATCTCGGAGGGCTTGCCGGCGCACGGGGCGGAGGTGGGGGAGGTGGCAGAGGCGGAGGCGGCGGTGCCAACGGAGGTGGTGGGGGGGGGGGGGGGGGGGGGGGGGGGCTGTAAGGGGGGGGGGCGGTGGGGGCCTCCCCCACTTCGACCGCAAATATTTCGCCATGGCTGAGCCCTGTGCACCCCTGCAGCCGGAAAGGCAGCAGTTATGTGCAATTGCACCCAATCCATCCAACCGCATGCTATCGCTACTTCAGGTTTTAGGGCTCGGTTGTTGGAAATTAAGGGTTTGACAAGAGGCTTTGGAACACATCAAGACCCTTACATTCCATATATGTACCGGTGTTGGGTTCTGGGTGTCGGGTTTGGGCAGCACCTCCTCAATTCTCCAAAAGCCACAAAGCACACCCGGGCACCTGGAGGACGTTTTCTTCGCCAGCCAGCTTCTTCTGCAGCTTCTCGGCCGCCTGCTGCAGTCCCTGACTGACTGAGGCTGCAGGCCTCTTCATACCTCTTCGCTCCTGCCCATGACAAGTCTTCAGCACTATGTACTCCTAAGGCAACGAATGCCTAGACAGCACAAAGCCTGAATCCTGAATGGAATCCTGCACAAACCCGCCAGGGCACTGCGATCCGAAAGCCACAACCCGCCCCGAAGCAATCCTTCTGGGCATCGGCATTCTTTTCGGCTTCTTCTCCTAAGGCTTCTTCGGCTGCAGCTGCCTCGGTGTCGCTGTCCACCGGCGTCGGCGGGGCATGGGGCTTGCAAGGGGTCTTTGGGAAGCCGGTAGGGTCGTCGGGGTCCGGAATGATTGCATCATTATCCATCTCCTCTTCTTCACCGCCCTCCTGAGCGTGGTCGGCCATGTCCTCGTCGTCCAAGTACTCAGCGGGTCCTGTGGCGGGGATTTAATCTCGGACCCAGGAGATCCGGAAGTTTAGGGGCAAGTTTGTTGGGGGTTCGTGATAGCTCGGGCTCCTGGGCTCAAGGCTTAAAGAAGTTAACCGATCCTATCACATCCCAAACTTGCATACTGGATCAATTGGGGTTTACGGTTAGGGTTCTGTAGAGCTCAAAGTCGGAGAATTCCCAACCCTTTAAACCGCCACCCCGCCTGAGCCTTCCGAGAAGTCTCCCCACTCCCTGGTCGGCAGCCGATTGGGGTCTTCCACAGGAATCTTTCTCTCCTGTGATCAGAGTGCGAGGTGATATATTACAAATCGTTTGGATTCACTATTATTCGGTGTCCTGATCTTTTTCTTCTTGCAAAGTGTTCACCAGCTTCTTGAGAAGGCCCATGTTCTTGCTGCCGGTCCTTTGGTCTAGAGCGAAAAGAGAGGGATTCTCAAGAAAACCGAACCTGGCCGGCCTGGTGTCAGAGTTACGGCGGCTGCGGTCCATGACGTGCGACATCAGGGCCCTGTGCAAGTCCCCCTCGGTTTTCGCCCACGCCTGCCCGAGAAACACCGAATATTCCGATGGCTTCGTGCAGGCTGGGCGGCTCGGCGTGAACAATTTCCTGCCTCGCGGGCTGCATCAGAACACTTCTTTCCCAGAAGTTTGCGATCGCTGGCGACGTTCTCAAGGGCTGCTTTCGTCTCGGCAGACGTGGGTATCCTCAAGCCTAGGGTCGTCAGGAGCCTCGCGACCAGCTTCGCGTTGCAGTCGTCCTCGACCTGGGCCGGGTTTAAGGGCTTGGGCATCAACCCCCGAAGCAGGAAACCCTAAACCGAGTACGACCGGGCTGGGTATTTGGGGTCCCAAATATTCTAAGGGTTTGCGGTTTAAGGCTCAGGGTTAAGGAATATATTGAATATATGGTCCATAAGACGAAATCTTCCTGGCGATCTGAAGGTCCGAAAGCCCACAACCCCCAGAACCCTAAGCACCTCATCCCGGCCGATGGTTCCGCCCCGGAGGTTCACGAAGGAAAACACCACCGGAGCCTTTCAGAGGCTTGTGGCAGCATTTACAGGGCTAAGGCTTTACCCAGATTTGCGGATTTGTGTTTGCAAGAGGGCCTTCCCCTGCTTCAGCAGCCGTTGCATCTTTTCGGCTCGCACATTGTTCAGCTTGCACAGCTCCGTGACCCTTCTCTCCTGGTAGTCATTGGCCTCCAGGATGGAGGTGTAGAGCTCCTGACAGACAAATGGTAGGCAACCACCCTGGAAACCAGCTCCCCAATCCCTTGTGCCTGCAAAAAACGCACCCGAAGCGACGGAGGCTTGCTCTTCGGCATCCGCAGCACCAGGGCACCAGCAGTGCTGATGCGTGGAGAAAAAAAAGCTCTTGAGCACCAGCAACCGCCCGGAAGCTGCTTTTAGTAAGACATGACCTCCATACTACCCACATGCACTAAGTCAAGACTGGCCGGGGCAACCGCCGGAGTCCGTCTCATTTTCCACGATCTCATTCTTAATATCCAGACCTTGAGTCCAACAGAAAATTAGCATCGATGTCACGTGGAAACCCCTCCCCGAGCAGCTGGGATCACTGCGAGAAAGCAAGGCCTTTTTCATAGCCAATCATCAGACCGTACCTCAGGATCAGTACTCTCAGTCAATTCCCTGCCAGAAGCTTGGGCACCAACGGAATCTCCTCGATCGGCGCCAGCAGAAATCATCGATCCGTACCTCGCTCCCCGTAGAAATCGCTAGGATTAGACCTCTAAAGTCGAGATTCTCGGGCACCAGCCCAACAATTCGGAGATCGGCACCAGGAGAGCCCGCCAAAATCCATATGTACCTGGGTGCAGGAAAGTGCACAGTTTTACACAGGAACCGAGACCCTGGGGCACCATCCGACATCAGCGAAGATCGAGGGCACACCCATGGCGAGCCGGAAAAAACCCTGACATCAACCCTGTAAGTGCAGGGCTGTTTCTCTAAATCATATTATTACATGCGGGGCGGGACTAGAGGGCCTTAAAGCTTGGGGCTGAAATTATATATGGAGTTGGGACATCGTGTGGCTTGGGGCTCGGTACGTGAACTCGCAGCTTAGCGGCGGTTCCACAAGCAAGGTTTTGAGGGTTTAGGGTTTCAGGGGACTCAAAACCCCAAACCTTGAACCCTAGGGTTGGGAGCCGCTTGGTGGGATAAATCGGGGTCGTTTCCATTATGTCGGTGTAGGGGTAAAACAGGGTGGTTGACATTGATATTGTGGATTACTGTGTCGGGGCAAAATAGGGTGGTTTCCATAAAGTTGTGGTTACATGATCTACAACATCAGGTGGGGAAAAGTAGGGGCGCTCGGGGCCCAAACCGGGTGGTTCGCAACCACCCCAAAAACTATGGTCGAGGAAGCACAGGGTACTACTACTACTACTACTTCTTCTTCGTCTTCTACTACTACTACTACTACTACTACTACTACTACTACACCCCCCCTGCCAACTACACTTGTTACATCTGGGCTGGGCAGCGGTAGCTGCTAGGCGCCTTAGCTGCGACAGTTGCAGAAATTGCACGGACTCAGGCTCCCTATGTATGACAACTGCCTTAACTGTCAAGCCGGTGAAGTTGCAGGGGCTCAGGCCCCGAAACTGCGACGGCAGCTGGAGTTGCAAGCTCGACAGGGAAGAAACTGCTAAACCGCAGGTGGTCGGATAGTACGAGAACGCTGTAAATAGCGTGAACAACGCAGGTGCTGCCAAAAAGGGTTTAACATTTCTAAAACCTGAAGCGCAGTATCTTCTAAACATAAAAAACAACCGTGCCAGCTGTACGTGGGAGGGGCTCGCCACACCCCTACCGCCCAACCTCGGCGTAGGAGGGTCTGTTTTTGAAGTGGTGTGTGTGGTGTGTGTGCGCGCTTGAGTGTGGAAATATTGTTCAGGATGTCCGCAACACAGTGTCGTGATCATCCCCGAAGAAGCTGTCCCCACCAAGTTTCGAGTCTTTTTGCAAACAGCTCGAAGCAGCAAAGTTGAATACGCATAGTCGAGAAGTCTGGGCTCAGAACATGTAACAAAGTCTGACATCGCGAAAGTACCGTAAATACCGACTTAAACGGCTCTTGTGGTGATACTGTGTTCGCGTAACACTGTCGTCATCATCCCCCCCCCACCCCCTCACCCACCCCCAGAAGCAAGTCCAAAATCAAGAGCTCGAGTTTGCAAACCCGACAAGTCGTTTCTGAGGCCTCTTATGATGATCGCACATGACGAGAGTGCCGTAAATACCGAGTAAAACGGATGTTGTCTTTACATGGTTAAGAGCTAGTTGGTAGTGGGGGTGCCTACTACGACTACTACTACTACTACTACTCCTCCTCCTCCTCCTGCTGCTGCTGCTGCTGCTGCTACTACTGCTTACTACTACTGCTACTACTGCTTACTACTACTGCTACGGCTACTGCTACTACTACTACTCCTCCTAATGCTGCTGCTACTATTATTGCTACTGCCACTCCTACCACTACTACTACTACTACTACTACTACTACTACTACTACTACTACTACTACTACTACTACTACTACTTCTACTACTACTACTACTACTACTCCTGCTACTACTACTACTACTACTACTACTACTACTCCTGCTACTACTACTACTCCTGCTACTACTACTACTACTACTACTACTACTACTCCTGCTACTACTACTACTACTACTGCTACTGCTACTGCTACTGCTACTGCTACTGCTACTGCTACTGCTACTGCTACTGCTACTACTACTACTACTACTACTACTGCTACTACTGCTACTACTACTACTACTACTACTACTACTACTACTACTACTACTATTACTACTACTACGACAACGACTTCGACTACGACTACAGCCCCGTCTACGACTACGACGACGACATCGACTACAACGACTACGACGACGACGACGACTACTACTACGTGATGTGCTCCAACTTGGGTGAGTTGTTTAATTTCGATGTGACTATCATCTCATGCATTCCCCTTCACAAGTTAGGAATTCATGTATGTGTAACAGACATGTCCAACTACACCACAACCGAAAAATGAATCAACCAGCAACAAAGCTTTCAACATGGAGAGAGACAGAGAGAGATAACAAAAAATACATCAAGCAAAACATCATAACCAAACGGGCTGCTCTCAAAACAACCGCAAAGCCAAAGCATGCCGAAGCCCTAAACCCTAAGGTTCGAATCAGTGTCGACCTGCAAGTCTAAACTGGAAACCTTAGACAGTCTGACCTGCGACTCGACATCGAGTTTGAAGGCGAGCAGGTGGTAGGAGCCCTCACAGCCGAAGAGATGCTGTAGGGCCACGTGGTACGCGTCCACCCCAACTCGTTGAGAAGCAGCACACCTTTCGACTGGAGCGCCTCTCTTAAACACCACCCTGCAGAATAAAAACCCATTCAACCGCGGAACTGATTCATTGAGGGACCCAAAAAGCACATAAGCATAAGCATTTTATAGGGATATCCCTACCTTATTTGGGTTCTTTATAAGGGGGCTTATATGGGATATCCCTATCCGAATTTTTGCTTATGTGCTTTTTTTGGGGGTCCTATTCATGCCTTGGAAAACGTAGCTACTGGGACCAGAGCCGGAGCAAGAGAAACAGCAAGAGCAAGAGCCAGAGCACCGATAGCGGTACGGTTGATGATATAAATCCTGCATTACCCATAATAAGGAATATACCATAATTCCCATGGTTTAGGGTCCTTAAGGTAATGCAGGATTTATATCATCAACCGTAGTAGAGACCAAACCCAGTAATTGGGAGCCTTAATGATTACAATGGGTTTTGGGGGCCATTGTACTATGATTCTAACAAGGAACCCCCAAAACAGTGTTGGTAATCAATTACTATTTAGGCCACTATAGTACTAATCATGCCGCTCGTTTCGAGTTGCTTTTCGGGGCGAGGGGCTGGTCTAGACTAGAAACCCCGACCTTGCCCTTGTTGAAAGGCCTGTCGTCCATAATGTGGCCGTGTTCAGGCTTTCGGAGGGTTTTAGGGTAGGGGAAGCACCGCAATGGACCCACTCACAAATCCTTGCTAGCAACAGTTACCTATGGTCTCCATTGTTGTTCCTTGTTTTGGTTTAACAAAATATATAGTTAGGATCCGTTAAGGTAACCCCAAAAGGAACTACAATGGAGACTCTAGGTAGTGTTTTTTTCGTTGCTGCCTTGTTTCCATTCAGGACTCGACGTCCGAAAGGAAAACTCAGTTGCATCCTTGAAACCTATATAACATCGGGCCTTAATAATTACCTGGACCCCAAAAGTATGTAGAATACTATCCTTTTAGAGGTTTTGGGCCATTGTTTTTTTTTCTACTTTGGGGGATCTAGGTAGAAAAGGGCTTCAGGGTATTATTGCTATGTTCGTAATAAGGAACCAATGTTGATCTTACACCTACTTACACGCTATGCGAAATTAACCCACCGCGGGAGGACCACTGCATCCCCCTTGGAAGGTACACAAACATGGATTTCCAAAGGTATCTACAAAATGAACCGCAACCAAAAAGCAAGAACAAGACAAAGTAAACCAGTAATCCCTAATCTTTGTGCCCTACCTAGAGTCTCCATGGTAGTTCCTTTTTGGGGGGTTACTTTAAAGGATCCTAACTATGTATTTGGTTAAACCAAAAAAGGGAACAACAACGGAGACTATAGGTAAACCCTTCTAGCCAGGTCCAAGGTGCTGCAAAGAGAGGCGGAGACACTGAGCAGGGAGTTGTGCAGCAGAGTTGTCGACTTTCGGCGGCTGCGAGATGAATTTCCGAAATCGTTCCAGCTCATCAGAGTCCTACCAGGGCTTGGGTTTGGGGTTTAAGGTAAGGGGGCTCGTCAGAGACCTACTAAGTTGTTACTAGGGTTTGGGAACCCAGGGTCCTGGGTTCTAGGGCTTCAGGGCTTTAGGGTTTTAGGGTTTAGGGCTTTAGGGCTTTAGGGTATTAGGGTTTTACGGTTTACAGAAGGTCTTTAGGGTTTCAAGCTTGAGGGTTTAGGGTTCAGGGGGTTTAGGAACTAGATTCGTCCTGGAACAATTTAGATCACAGAGGAGTCGTAGTCGGGTAAAGGAATTCGCCTCGGGATTCCCTCTATTCCCCAAAATCGGTGCCACTTGCCCCCCTAAAAATGGAAACGTGTCACTGAGCTGTGAATTCTCGCCCCCTCCAACAGATTTCTGCCTCCCCCCCCCCCCCCCCCCCCCCCCCCCCCCCCCCCCCCCCCCCCCCCCCCCCCCCCCCCCCCCCCCCCCCCCCCCCCTCCCCCCCCCCCCCCTCCCCCACAGGTGCGAGCTTCCTGGACCCTAACCCAGCCTGAAAAATTGGGGCTCGCCTGTAAGGCTGCAGTACCAACGGAGTTTCAAACCTGAATTCTTAACCCTACACCCTAACCCCAGCCTGAAAAACCAAAGCCCGGACAACACCTGCACCCGAAAGCACGACGCCTCCCGCCCTCCCCGCCTCCCCTCCTCCCCCACCCTCCCGCCCCTCCCTCCCTCGCTGACAGGTGCGAGCTTTCTGGGAATTTCCGACGACACCGGACTGTAATGTTGCATGTTTATTTTTTGGGGCGCGCCTTTAAGGCTGCAGTACCAAGGGAGTTTCAAACCTGAACTCCTAACCCTACACCCTAACCCCAGCCTGAAAAATTGGGGCTCGCTTGTAAGGCTGCAGTACCAAGGGAGTTTCAAACCTGAATTCCTAACCCTACAGCCTAACCCCAGCCTGAAAAACTTTCAAAGCCCGGACAACACCTGCACCCGAAAGCACGACCTTACTATAAGTGCGATTCCAACTGTTACTTTTGTCCTACAAGAGCTTGCTGCAGATAGTAGCCACTCGCCGCATGCGCGTACAGCCGGGCCGAGGCGGACGACGCGCAGCGTTTCAAATTACAGGTCTTGAGGGTCGTAGGAAATCATAAAAGCGCATGACAAACATGGGAGTTTTACAGCGGTTTCGGAATCCTACACTATCAGGGTTTTGTAGATATAGGACTCCTACTACGGCTTGGGAATTCCATTAGGGCTTGAGGGCTTTAGGTGAGTGTCCAGGAACTGTAAGGCTCCAGGGCTTTAGGTGTGATATGAACTCTAGGTCTAGGGAAGGATGTGGTGGAATGTAGTGGGTACTTGGAGGTTCATGGGTAGTTATAAGTAGGGTGGAAAGGAGGAGAACTATTAACCAATATTAGGAGACTTATAACCCCCACATATAACTACCCATGAACCTCCGAGTAGGGTTGAGGGTGTACAGGGCTTGTGCGAAAAGAAGTTATTCCGAAGCAGTCGTTCTCGACAATCGATTCTAGCAGAACTCTTCCCATTTATCCTTGCCTGGACCCTAAGGAACCTACCTTTTTTAGGGTTCCCTAATAAGATTTCTTTATAAAAGCCCCTGAAAAGGTAGATCATTTGGGGTCAAGGTGTCAATACCCTAAACCCTAAACCCTTAGTGAGTGTCTCGGCCACACGAAGCTCCAAGCTGCGAAGGCTTATCGTAAAGCAGACGGCCCGTCATTCAACCCACCCCAAGGGTCCAACCCAATAATTAGGTCCTTAGGCAGTTATGTAGGTTACCATTTGGGAGAGTATATGATTGTTAGGTACTCGGACCCTTAGGGCCACAACCGTATACATTGCTCTACGACTGGAACCCCTGTGACGGGAGGGTTCCTGTACCAAAAGGTCTTGGAAGATCGTCTTGTCCAGGCATTCGCTGCTACAGAGGAGCCTCAGCCATCCCACGCCTATGACAAGGTGATGCTCAACTATACCCCTCAATACTACCTATAGTCTCCATCGTGCTTTGTCCCTTTTTGGGGTTACCTGGTACCTGAAAGGGCCCTCACGATAAAACTGGCTAAACCCAGAAATGTGAAGATGTGAACTCTGGACTACCTTAACCCCCAAGCTCCAGATCTAGCTCTGATGAATGGTTTAGCCGGGTTACCAGAAGGCTCATGTACCCATAATACTGATATACACTATACACATTGGGCTCTTACAGCCAGTCGAGGAAGCCGTTCAAGGCCAATGCATAAACTACCATGGGCATCCATGGGCGCTCAGGCTATGAAGAACTATGCCAGCAGGGCTCCCAGCAAAGAACAAAGCAAACCATGACCACAAACCTGAGAAGCCCTCAACCAGGCCAAAAAACACGCAACGGACAACAAGTCCGAAACCCTACACATAAGCTATTATAAACTCTAAACCCTAAACTCTAAACCCTAAAGCCTAAACGAACGCCGGAAGCACCTTTCCAGTGCCAAGATACCGGTTCAAGCAACTGGTGCCTTCCTTGCCGGTCGGTTTTTAGCAGTTTTTTTTGCGAGTAAAGCTTCAGGGTTGAGGGTTTAGGGGCTTTCAGGGCGTAGGGTTTAGGGGTTTAAGGGTTTAGGACTTGGTTTTTTTTAGGGCTTATGGGTGTAGGTTTTCGCGGTTGTAGGGTTTACGAGATTTGGGATTTTATAGGGTTTCATGTGGGCTGATAAATTTATGGCTTACTGGCTTAATCCCTTCCCCCTAACATTCAACCCCCCCTAATATAAAAACTGCCGGCCCCGGCTCGGGCCCCGCATTCAATTTAAAGGGGGCAACATTAGGGGGGGTGGCAGATCTGTATGTGTTTTAATTGAAGAAAGACTACCGTAATACTAAAGACACCAGAGCTTTAGGGTTTGAGGGTTTAGGGCTCAGGGCTTTAATTATAGAGGCAAAGATTAATTACAGCAGTACTAAAGAGACACGAGAGCTTTAGGGTTTAAGGGTTTAGGGCTCAGGGCTAAAGCTTTAGGGCTCGAGGTTTATGGCTTAGAGCTTTCGGGCTCTAGCTGTCTGACTGTCTGGCTGCCTCATTACTAATTAATTGTTGTCACTCCGACTCATACCCGCAGGACCCGAACCCCCCCCCTAATATAAAAACTAAACCTCCGGAATCCAGTTTCTATATTAGGGGGGGGAGCCCTTTAATAGTAGGGGGAAGGGATTAGACTGTCTTCTATCCCCTAAACCCTAAACCCTAAACCCTAAACCCTAAACCCTAAACCCTAAACCTATAACAGAGAGATTTATCGCGGGGAAGCCTCAAAAGGAGGGAGGAAGCCTAAGTAGGATTAACGATCCGCTTTTTTTCGGACTCTTACCTGGGGGTTACCCCACCTACCTTCATCCTACCTTTTGAGGCCCCTGAATTTATAGGGTTGTTCGGGTCTGGCGCTCAGAGTGATGGGTAGTAGTGCTTAGGCTGTGGCCTATTTGCTTCTTAATGCTACGTACCAGCCCTTCTGACATCTGTCTCAGAAGCTTCGGCTTTCGTTTGGAACGGGGCAGGTTAGAGTTCTGGGGCTTGTTCGGGGGCAGGTGTTGGGCCTATATAGACGCTCCCAGCTAGAATCTAATTTGATGAGCAAACACTGTACTCACCCACCAACATCTGGTTAACGTGGGCTTGAAGTTGAGGGGTAGCACCGGGATAATGTTGAATAAGCCTCACGATCAGAATAGCCTTTGGGAGTGCAAGTACGCTTGATCAAGTATGATTGTAATAACTGTGCAGCCTCGCCCCAAACCCTATAAATCCTGAACTCTAAACCCTCAACCCTGAACTCCAAAGCCTAAACGTAACAGAAGTGAAGGCCTGCGCTTCTTGAGAACCGAGGTTCCTGTATGCGAAAGCCACCATCCAGCAGCACTTCACCGTCGCAGACGCCTCGAAGAATCAGAACGCCTAAAACCGGAGTTAAAGCCTGAACCTTGAACCCAACCCGAACCCTAGTCCCAGATAGAACCTTCATAGATCCCGTCTGGGAGCCCTTTTCCGAATCCCTAACGCCGGAACCTCGAAGCATCTGTCGGAAACCAGAGATCATGGACTCAGCATCTGCATTCTTGAATTGCGCTGCCACGCGGTCCCTGCGGGTTGCACAAGGTTTAGGGTTTAGGGTTTACCCTAGACCCAAGAGTAAACCTAGGAACAAAACGGGGTGCCCTTGTTGGTTGAAAGGTAGGTATAAGGGAACCTAAACCCTAAAAACGGGGAATAGGGGCCTACTCTGGGTCCTACCCTAGGGCTCTAAAGTAGTTCCTTTTTGGGGTTCATATTTAGAATCCTAAAAGGTAATCCCAAAAAGGAACTACTAAGGAGCCTATGGGTAGTTAACTATTTAGGATTTAGGGTTTGGGGTTTAGGGTTTCAAAATCAAGGATCTAAGGCGCTAAATTGGGGCTGTCGTGTTAACCATGGCCTGAGTAGGGCCCGAGATTTTAGGGTTCAGAGGTTTAATATTTTAGGTTTAAGGGTTTAGGTTTAGGGGTTTAGAGTTTGGGAGAGGTTTAGTTGTTCAGGTTTGGGGGTTTAAGTTTAGGGGTTTAGAGTGTGGGGGTTTACGGTTTAGGGTGCATGACTTTCAGGTTTTCCAGGCCTCAGTGTGCGCTCTAGCACAACCGAGATGACAATGATGAGCATCGCAAAGGCTCCATGATCAAATGGAAAGTTCGTGAGGTTCAAATCCTTGGTGAGGGCATGCCCTAAAGCCCATAACTTCAAGCCCTAAACCCTAAACCCCAATAACCCTAAAACTCATCAGAAGCCCTGAACCCACGCTCTGAGCCCGCCCCCGTTAACTTATTCCAGCTTCTTTCCCTCGTCCTAAGGCTCCATGTACCCATATAGTATATACTTAGGCCTTAAAGTACCTATATAGGGACCTCTTTAAGGCTTAAGTATCTACTATGAAGGTGCATGGAACCTGTGGGCCAACACCAGAGCACAATTAGGGCTCATTTTGGCGATCAGGGCCTAGGAAGGTTAGGGGTTTAGGGTTGAGGGCCTATCAGGGGTACCTTTCTGGGTTCATTCATGCGGGTTGTTGTCAGGTTGTTTTGAGTTCCTTTCCCGGCCGCAGGTTTTCGGTATTCTGTAAGGGTGTAAGGTTTGGGCTACCTATGGGGTCGCCCAAGGGTAGAGCTTTGAGGACCTATACCAGGGCAACCAGCGTAACCAGGAGCCTCCTTGGAGGGTCGGGGGACTTAGTAAGTAGTTATTTTATAGAGTTAGAAGTACCATAACCCAATTAGGGTCCCTTTTGGGGTACTTATAAGTCTACTTCCTACCTACTTACTAAGTCCCCCGACCCTCCAAGTCTGGTCTTGGCCCTCTTCAACGTCCTCTTCGGGTGCATTTCGAGGTTTGAGGCTCCCAGAAAGTACCTTTTCATATTCGGCGGCCTGTCAAACCCTAAGGCTCCATGTACCGATATAGGAGGTACTTAGGCCTTAAAGTGCCTATATAGGGACCTCTGTAAGGCTTAAGTATCTACTATGAAAGGTACATGGAGCCTTTTGGGAAAATAGTAGTAAGGGTTTGGGGTTTAAGGGTTCAGGGTTTGGGGTTTTAGGGTTCAGCGTTTGGGGTTTAAGGGTTCAGGGTTTGGGGTTTAAGGGTTCAGGGTTTGGGGTTTAAGGGTTTAGGGTTTGGTAAGGGCTTAGGGTTTTGGGCTTTAAACTAAGTAGTAATAGTAACCATCATCATCATCATCACCATCATCACCATCATACTCGTAGAATACTAGCAATCATTCTAGTGAGTAATGAGGATAATGATAATGCTAACCACAACAACAACAACGACAACGAACAGAGCAACATCAACAGCAACAGTAGCAAAACCAGTAATACTTATCGTGACACTAATGATAGTCATAGTAACAATAAAAACAGAAAAGAAGGTAATCACCAATAATCGCAAGAATATTAACGACGATTATAATAGTGATGATAGCACCAGTAGTAATAACAACAGCAAAGCAGAACGAAATGGACGTACTAATGCATTAAACAAGAAATACTATCAGCAATATTGGCAATACAGTACATAATCATAATAGTAGTGAATACTTTAGTTTACAGACAACAAGCGAGCTAAAAAGTAGCAACAACAAGAAGAGTACTCCTACCAACAACAACTTTGACAAATGGGCGAAGGTGTCAGTTACTACGGCTGATGGCCATGACCCTAAGGACTCTAAACTATGGGAACTATGGTATATTCCTTACTATGGATCATGCAGGACTTTGTCCATCAGCAGTACAAACGAAAGTTTCTTGGCTGCAGGGACTGACCTTCTTCCGGCTCTAGGTTGCCAAGCTTTCCGGGTTTAGGGTTTAGGGTTGAGGGTTTAGGGTTGAGGGTTTAGGGTTTAGGGCTTAGGGTTTAGGCTTTAGGGTTTAGGGGCGCCAAGGAGCTGTGCCGTGCACCTTGAATACGTGGCAAAACTTGCCGAGCACGAGCGCAAGGCTCGCTGGAACATGAATGGCGCATTCAACATAGCAAACGGCGCCCTGAGTTGCCCCAGGAAGTGGCAGGAGCTTAAGCTAAAAGTTTGAGGTTTCGGGTTTGGACGACTTGGTAGGACAGCATTATTGCTGGGAGCATGTTCCTCGCAGGAAAACTGGAAATACAACTTATGTTCACGAGGCATCTGAGAAGCCATGACCTGATACAGCAGAAATGCCCTCTCGGAAACACCAGACTGTGGCAACCAAATACCTGGGTTCCGAAGCTTCCAAAGAGAAAACAGGATCAAACGAAGATTGAAAAAAGCAGCCTGTGGCAATCTACCCCTAATCCCTAAACCCCTAAAAGCCTGAAAAACATTGATGCAGAGCCCGATGCTTGCAAACATCACGAAGTAGTAGAAACAGGCGATAATTCGCAGGCCGGATGTCTTCAACACGACAGCTCTCTTGGCTATACAAGTGTTCATCGCATAGGAGATGGCATAGGAGGTCATGATGAGGGCACAAGATTGTTGATCAGGGCCATGCACGAGAGGAGCAGTCACCAGGGAAACAAAGTTACCATGCCGCAAAAAGCGGCATGCCAGAAAATAGTTGCTTTCTCGTAGCTGACGTAGTGCCTTCTCCATGCGGTCTTCGTGAGGGTTACAAACATTTCGGTTCTTCCAAAAGTGCCGCGTCGCCAACACCAAGTCTGCAAGATCCGCGCTGCTCGCTTTCCAGTGAATACTGCCAAGTATGATGAAGAAGCTCACCCAGACCGAATACGGAACATCCATGTCCATGGATAACCCTAAGCTCCTAAACCCTAAACTCCTAAACCCTAAACCCTAAACTCCTGGAGCTGCCGGAAAGAAGCCAGCTTTGGGATTCAAGCCAGATGGCTGAGGATTCCTTGGGTCTGCCTTAAGGATCGGGAAGAGCGAGAAAGACATGTACTTATGTGCCTATACATACATACATACATACATACGTACATACAGACATGCATACATGGCATACCATAAAACATAGCCACATACATACACACCATACCATACCTGCCCTACCTGCCCACCTACCTACATGCAGACAGACATACATACATATAAATATAAATGTATCTGTGTAAGCGTATATATGCATATGTATATGTAATTGTACATGTAAGCATAAATGTATATGTATGTGTATGGGCATATGTATGCGTATATGTATATGTGTATGTGTATGTCTATCTGTACGTATGCATGTATGCATGTATGCATGTATGTATGTATGCATGTATGTATGTAGGTGTGTGACAGACATAGGGAGTGTATATACGATCCCGGTTCGGCCGGACCCCCCCCCTCCCCCACCCCAATGGTTCCTCCTCCCTTTTCTGTGGTGTGGTTGTGGGCTGTTTCCCCCTCCCTGTGGTGTGGTGTGGTATGGTGTGGTTCGGGAGTGGGTCTGCTTAGGCTGGTTACCCCACTCCCTTCTGTGGTGTGGGGTGGTTTGGGTTTCCTGCGTGGGTTGCTTGGCGTGTGAGCCCTCGTATGGAAAAAGCTTGCACAGTCACATTCGGTTTGGGGAGCGTGGGGGGGGGGGGGGGGGATACCATTGGGGGGGGGGGGGGGGTCGGTGAACCGAGAACCGGGATCATACGATCCCGGTTCGGCCGCCCCCCCCCCCCTCCCCCACCCCAATGGTTCCTCCTCCCTGTTTGTGGTGTGTTTGTGGGCTGTTTCCCCCTCCCTGTGGTGTGGTGTGGTATGGTGTGGTTCGGGAGTGGGTCTGCTTAGGCTGGTTACCCCACTCCCCCCTGTGGTGTGGGGTGGTTTGGGTTTCCTGCGTGGGTCTGCTTGGCGTGTGAGCCCTCGTATGGAAAAAGCTTGCACAGTCACATTCGGCTTGGGGAGCGTGGGGGGGGGGGGAAGGATACCATGGGGGGGGGGGGGGGGGTCGGTGAACCGAGAACCGGGATATATATATATATATATATATATAAGTGTGTGTGTGTGTGTGTGTGTGTGCTTGCAAATATGTATTTTTATACACACACATATATATATATATGTGTGTATATATACATACACACACATAGATATACAAGCATACACATCATATGCCTACACAGACCACTATATCTGCATGGATGTATGCATGCGCACATATACATACATACATACATACAAACAAACATACATATATATATATATATATATATACACATGTATACACACATAACTGTGTGTGCATATAGTACGTAGCATATTGTGATGACGACAACAACAATAAACGCTTGATACCAACATGAGCGGAATTAATACGACTACGACGACGATGACGACTACGAATGGCAACAATAGTAAAACCTACGATGCAACACAATACAAGCAATAATATTGCGACTATGTATATATATATATATGTATATATACATACATATATATATGCACATGTATGTAATGTACGCACACTCACCTGTATGTATTCTCATACTTGTATACCGTATAATAACAAACCCTGCATAACTCAAAAGCTGATTCAACATAAGTGCACCAAAGGCCTCGCAGCTGTTTGGTTCTGTTGTCATGCACGAGATAAATAATGTAGCTGACAAGACTCCCAGCCAGAATCCACATGAGATGCATGGACTCATACAGCATGTTGGCACAATGGTATTCGGTAGGTATGTGCTCGAGATAGCACGCTGCCTCAAGTGTTTCTGAATCGCACCCTGCGCTCTACGCTCTCAACACCATATCTCCGAAATAAACCTCAGCTGCAAAGGGAGCTGCAAATCTGCCACTGAAGGTAAGAACCCAAACGCACACTACACATCAACCCGTCGTGAGCTGTGGTTTTTATTCCTGTTTATGTGGATGGAAATGATAATTCAACCCTTCTGCAAGACCCTTCCGCGTGCTTCCGCGCGCGAAGGTCTTGCTTCCGCGGGCCTCAACTTTCATATCGCTTCCGCGGGTCCCTTCTGCAACGGTTGTTTCGCTGAGTTTGCGGGGTTTGCTTCCGCAAGTGGGGGCTCAAGTCTTGAGAAGGCTGTTTGCTTGGGCAAACCACGCCCACAACTTCAACTACCAAGAAAGGAAGCAAGCTTAAATAAAGCGCGCGAAGACACAAGCAAGCACATCTGAAAAGGCTTACAGGTGGCTTTCGACTTCGGCTGGTAAGCCCTTCTGGGTAGGGAAGTTCGGTTTTCCAATCCGTAATCGGGGGTAAGACATTCCGGGTACTGAATTTGGGTTTTGCTTTCCGTTTCCAATCCAACTTCCTGCTTAAGGCCCTGGGGGGTATGGAATTCCGGCGGTTTCCAACACTTGGGTTTAATGCCTTCGGGGTACGGAATTTCAGTGGCTTTGCTTTCAATGGCTTTCAACCCCAAATCCGTTTTAAGCTCTGGGTCGGGGGGGGTGGGATCAACTTTTAGGGGTCCACCTTCCACGGAGCTTCCGCGGACCTTCCGCGCACGCCCCCTATCATCCTGAGAAATTTTGCAGATGATAACGCAGATGTGCTGTTCGTCGTCACTGCTTGACTACGGGTAAGTTTGCAAACACTCGTGAACAAGTATATGAAAATGGCAAAAACATGATAACAATGAGCGTGGTATTGATGCTGATAATGAGTTGCTTCTGACAAGGACCCTGCAATCCTCCCTGAATGGCCTTTGGGATATCTGCGGCATACACGCTGGGGCTTTGTAACTTCACGACGTGAAGTTACAAAGCCCAGCGTGAACACCGAAGAATCAAGAGACGAAGCTCGAACCTTATATCATAAACTCTAAGCACTAAGCCTGCCGTGAAGCCCATTCCCGCAGGGAGGTTGAATGCCAAACCTCGCCAATGTCTACGGTTTACATTGACCTCATGTCCTACTTTCTCGTAGGTTCTAGATAGTAACCCCTGATCTCCTAAACCCTAAACCCTAAACCCCTAAACCCTAAACCCTAAACCCTAGACTTTACCTGGACCCTATAAAAAAAGCAGGTTCTTCTAGGCGAGGCTAGGGTTCAGGGTTTGGCTTAGAGGGCCTTCTTTTACAGGGTAAAAGTCCGAAGGAGTACATAATCAGGTACTTCGTTCCTGCATTACCCTAAGGATCCTAAACCATGGGAATTATGGTATATTCCTTATTATGGGTCATGCAGGATTTACATCATTAACCCTTGGGCTTCGGATCGTATAGTCGAACCCTAAACCCTCTAAACCATTTGAGGAGTAGGGGGCTTAATAATTAGAATAGCGCGTCGGTGTGTCCTTTTTACTGTAGTAGTTATATGGGAATTTCCGAAAATGAGGGGTACCTTATTTTGGGGTCCTTATATTAAGGATCCTACTATTTAGGGTACTCGTTTAGGGTCCCCTATTTTCGGATACTCCCATATGGAACCCCCAACACCCATTCTAGTTGCCCTTATAAACCCCAAAAGATCCCTTTAAAGAGCCCTTAAAGGACCCCTAGGTATTCCTTAGGGGTATCGGGCTCTCTGGGTAGTTGAGGATTCTGCTCCCTTCTTCTTGGGAGGGTCGAGGGGACTTAGTAAGTAGTCATTTTATAGAGTTATACCCAGAGACTCCAATACCCCTTAATTAAGGAATATTCCTTAAATCATATTAGGGATCCTACTATAATTTAAGGTATATCCCTTAATTAAGGGGTATTGGAGTCTCTGGGTAAGTACCATAACCCCAATTAAGGTCCCTATTAAGTTACCTATAACTCAATATAATAACTACTTACTAAGTCCCCCGACCCTCCAAGTAAGGTTTAGGTGACGCAGCCCTAAACCCTAAACCCTGCAAACCGTAAACCCTTTGTTGCTTCAGGTCGACGGTTCTAGGGCTGTTGAAGGAGGGCTTGCCCGGCGATCCCCAGCACCTACCGCTTTGGGGAGGTTTTGGTGGTTGTTTTGGGGGGGACTTTGGCTTCTTTGGTGGGGGAATGCTAATCTCAAAGGGTCAACGTACCATTCCTCTAGGCTCATTAGTATATATTTGGGCCCCCAAAGTATCATACTATACTGCTACTTGGACCCTTTGAGAATTAAGAGGTCATACCCTACTACTTGTGTAAGGTGTGGGGTAGGGTTTGGGGTCACAGGTAGGTCACTTGGAGGTTCATGTGTAGTTATACGTGGGGTTGTACGTCCCCCAATATGGGTTATAACTATGCTTATCCTACTTATAACCCGGCTTATAACATAACCCCAAACCCTAAACCCTAAACCCTAAACCATGTTATAACTATCCATGTGTCTCCAAGCAGGGGTTTCGGCTTCCTGGGGTGTCTCATGCCCAAAGGCTCTTGAAACTTGGCGGCTTCATATGGGTGGCCAAACTCAGGCTCCCTTTTTGGGACCCCAATATAGTATGGCACCTAATATTTCGGGTTCCCAGAAAAGGCCATCAATTTGACAACCACCCACATACGGGCCTTAAGAATTGGAATAGGGTCTTGGTGGTATACTTTGTCATGATAGGGAACCTGGAGCAACACTGCCAAAAGTCGCCATTGTAGTTCCTTCGTGGCTTCGAACATCTGGGATGCTACCCTCCTGGTCCAAGCAGCTACTAATCACATACTCGCAGCTAGAACTTGCATAACCGATCCCTAAACCCTAAACCCGAGTACCTAATCATTCGGTCCCTTCGGACTCCTAGGGTTTACCTGAGCCCTGACGGACCTACCTTGTTAAGGACTTATATAAAGAAATCATAATTAGGAACCCTAAAAAGTAGGTAGGTTATTCAGGGTTAAGATAGAGTTTAGGGTTTAGGGTACAACACTCTATAACACC